ACGCTTTAGCTTTAAGTTTCCTTATCCTAACCTTAGAAGCTGGGCTATGAAATTCTCCTCGAAAACAAAATTTCTTTTCCTATCCTCGCTTTCTGTTTGATTTTAAAGTGTATATTCTATTCGCATGCGTTTAAGTTTACTTGGAAGAATGTACGGTGTATGCTTGGTCGTGTGCATAAAGACTACGCAAGGTGAGGATACCGTGATTACTTATTTCCATCTAAACGATTGATAAGCGAATTGAAATGGTTTTACCTTTGCGTAGAAGAAACCAGAAGAGAAGAAAATCGAAGAAAAGAAGGAAGTTGAAAAGGTAATAATTCGAAAAATAAATTTGCTACGATTAGTTGAAACGTATGTACATATCTCATTTGGTTTTCCTTCAATTTCTTTCTGCAGAAGAAGATAGCGAAGAAAGAAGAAGAAAAGAAAGAGGTAAGAATAACTCGACTCGTTGCACGATGTTCGTATAAATCTATACTACGAACAAATCCTTATTTACTTCTGTTATTCTCTTCTCTTTGTTCCAGGAAGCTTCTCTTAAAGCAGAGAAAATTGTGTCTCGCAAGCAGTCTATCAGTAGAGTAAGTAACCATCACGCGGAATTTTCCTATCTTCTATAAGATATTAACAAAGAATCTACCTAATTCGACCGTTCTCGCTATTTTTTGATAGGTGGAAGAATTACGGACAGAGAGCCGAAGAAGTTCTTTGGTGGCAACGGAGGAAAAGGTCAGATTCTATTTCGTATTCGCTTCTTAATACTTCCACCTATTCTAACGTAATTTACGCTTGGCAGTAGAGATCCAAACCATTTATTTCTTTTTTTTTTTTATTTCTCTCGTTGTTTCCGGTACGTAGATACTCGAAGATGGCCGCACGACACCCCGGCGCTTGTCCGTTCAAAAGGTACACGAGCACTGAACGATTAAATCCGAAACGCGTAATATCCACTATCGTAGACGCAACTCGCCATAGCAGAACTGATTTCAAAAATTCAGGCTTTTATACTAATCGCGTCCTTCTCTTTTTCCCGGGCAAACAGACCGAAGCGGAAGTGAAGACGGAGAGCCGGCGATCTTCAATCGTCGAGAAGAAGATAACCGCCGAAAAGGTAAGGGAATATTTTTGTCTCGCAATGTACGTAGACCTCAAGCTTTAGACCTTCGTTAAGCTCTTGTTATTAACGTTGTTATTAACGTCGAGGAATCCCTGAGTCAAGTACGAGAAGTAAGTATCACGTGTGGACCCGACCTTCTCGTGAACGACTTAAGAAGGCTAATGATGTCTAATATCAGATGTTTGTGTGGTATACGTGTGTCTAAATGATCAAAAATATCGGCCATCTTTGACTCGGGGTTGTAAGTAATCAGCAGTACAAACGAGTACCGTAAAACGATAAGAGTCATGCGAACCTGTGACACGCATGTATCAATGTTAACGAATGTAGCCTAGGTCACATATACTTCATTCCGAGATATTAAAAGGTTCGCGTTACAAATAGATGCACGCGGAATGAGCAATAAACTTATTTTAGATTCTTCTTTTTAGATCACGTTCGTAATGAAAGGAATATAATCTAATCGATGAAATTTAACGATCATGTTTCAACGATCAAATTCGAACCGAACGAGGCGAAGAATGATACGCATTCGAGATAGGGAAACATCAGCGAAAATTAATTAAGAATCTGAGCCGTGTGTTTACATTGGACTTTGTCCACGAACCATGGATCTCGCTCGAGACCTCGTGTTTATCTCGATTTCCTTACCACTAGTCTCGCAGGATATCGTAGGCGGAGGTGTTAAACTCGTGTCGCGTCACTTGAAACGCATTGCGCATAGCGTAGACCTGTTCCACTGGCACGCTAGCACTTTCGATAGCCTTGTCGTTATTTCTATCTCGACCATTACACATCTCATAAGATTTTTTCTTCTTTAATTATATTCTCCATGCGATCTGAAACACAAACGGAATTCCCAGTAAATCAATTTTGTAATTTTTTTTTATTATTTACAATTTTTAGGCAGATAGAGAGACCCCGAAGATTAGATCCATGACATCGACGCGACACATAAAGGTACACAAAACACATCGAATTTACGCGAAATACTCGCGCTAATCGTGAATAATTGTTATATCTATTGCGAATTAAAATATACACTCGCTGCTTGTAGATTTCGCCGAGAGAAAGTATTATATATTACAAGTCCGAGCCTGATGACGAGATCGAGGTAAACGGCTGATTAAAAGATATTTAAACTCCGTATTGCGCGAGTATGTTGGTCAAGAACATAAGTGTATATGAAAATTCGTGTTTGTAGGATATCTGGGCGTCGGTGCCAAGAGAGCCTGAAATAAAATCCATTAGAAAGAAAGAGGTACACGACACTGCTTCGATCAAATTAACAATTTTCATATCACACGATGACACGTAATTTTGCTAATATAATTTTAGGATACACTGAGTACAACACATCCACCGGTTATACACGAATTTCACGAGAAACCGAGCATCGAGGTAGACGTCATTTTATTGGTAGTCACTGAATTGGAACTTTGTTATATATTTTTTTTTTTTATTTACAAAATTGCTAATATAATTGTAGGATACACTGAGTACAACACACCCACCGGTTATACACAAATTTCACGAGAAACCGAGCATCAAGGTAGACCTCATTTTATTGATAGTCACTGAATTGGAACTTTGTTATATATTTTTTTTTTATTTGCAAAATTATTTGTAGGAAGAACCTCGGCCTGATAAAACTAAACGCGTCGAGTTTCCGGTTAATAAGTATAAGGTACACTAGAAATAAATTTACTTTTCTAGATAGTTGCTTCAAAAAGCGAATTTTTATTTATGAAGATGAAATTTTAGGAAACAATTACAACATTACACGCACCTGCACCACGTGTGATTAAGCCTAGTAAAGATATCGAGGTATACAACACACGATACAATTATACTTCCATTCATGCCATCGGTAAAAACGTGCAAATCGTAGTCATTAAACGAAAATAATTTTAGGTTTCCATTGTGTCACGATCAAGTTTACCTGCGAAGAACTTAATCAGAAACAGCGAGGTATACGATACATTTCCCGTTTCGCATTATATTATAATTTTATTTTCGATACAAGCTTTGTTTCGTTATAGGAGCAACTACGTCCAAAACATGTGCAATTATTCGAACCGAATAACGAAATAGAGGTAGTTTATATATTTATTTCTATTCTTTTGTACATATCACATCATGTCGAAAGAGATAAAGAACGGTATTGACGAAATAAATTTTAAAATAAATTTTAGGACATTTGGGCAGACAGGCCGAAAGATTATGAAATTAGGCCCATTAAGAAAATTAAGGTACTCGTGAGGATACAATATTTCGTTACACTCTAGATACCACACTCGATTTATATTTTATTTATATCTTATTTTTTTATATACACATTTACAGGATACACCAAAGATTACGTCCAAACCGTACACACAAGAATCGAACAATGAAATAGAGGTAGACTATTTTCTTCTTTTTGTAGTACATTACATTACACAAAAGACAAATTGGTATTAATAAACAAATAAATTTTAGGACATTTGGGTAGACAGGCCAAAAGATAATGAAATTAGGCCCATTAAGAAAATGAAGGTACTCAAATAGATACAATATTTTGTTACAGTTTAGATGCCACACTCGATATCCATTTTATTTATACCTTATTGTTTTGCATACGCGTTTACAGGATAGACCAAAGATTACGTCCAAACCGTACACACAAGAATCGAATAATGAAATAGAGGTAGCCTATTTTCATTTTCACAGCACAATATGTTACATAAAAAAGAATTAGCATTAACGAATAAATAAATTTTAGGACATTTGGGCAGATAGACTGAAAGATGAGATTAAACCCATTAAGAAAATTAAGGTACTCGTGTAGATACAATATTTTGTTACACTCTAGATACCACACTCGATTTATATTTTATTTAAACCTTATTGTTTTACGTACACCTTTACAGGACACACCAAAGATTACATCCACACCATACACACAAGAATCGAACAATGAAATAGAGGTAGACCATTTTCTTTTTTTTTGTAATATATTACATTACACAAAAGACAAATTGGTATTAATAAACAAATAAATTTTAGGACATTTGGGCAGACAGGCCAAAAGATAATGAAATTAGGCCCATTAAGAAAATTAAGGTACACGTGTAGATGAAATATTTTGTTACATTCTAAATTTCAGATTTGTACTTTATTTATACGCTATCTTTTTATATATACGTTTGCAGGACAAACCAAAGATTATGTCCAAACCGTACACACAAGAATTGAACAATGAAATAGAGGTAGACTATTTTCTTTTTTTTTCTTTTTTTTGTAATACCTCACATTACAGAAAAGACAAATTGGTATTAATAAGCAAACAAATTTTAGGACATTTGGGCAGATAGACCGAAAGATGAAATAAGACCCATTAAGAAAATTAAGGTACTCGTGTAGATACAATATTTTGTCACACACTAGATCCCACACGCGATTTATATTTTATTTATACCTTATTGTTTTGCATACGCGTTTACAGGATAGACCAAAGATTACGTCCAAACCGTACACACAAGAATCGAACAATGAAATAGAGGTAGTCTATGTTTGTTTCATAACACAATATGATACATACAAAAAAATTAGTATTAACGAATAAATAAATTTTAGGACATTTGGGCAGATAGACCGAAAGATGAAATTAGAGCTATTAAGAAAATTAAGGTACTTGTGTAGATGAAACCTTTTGTTGCATTCAAAATTACAGATTTGTATTTTATTTATATCTTATTTTTTTATATACACATTTACAGGACACACCAAAAATTACATCCACACCATACATACTAGAATCGAACAATGAAATAGAGGTAGACTATCTTTTTCTTTTGTAGTACATTACATTACACAAAAGACAAATTGGTATTAATAAACAAACAAATTTTAGGACATTTGGGCAGATAGACCTAAAGATTATGAAATTAGGCCCATTAAGAAAATTAAGGTACTAGTGTAGATGAAACATTTTGTTACATTCTAAATTGCAGATTTGTATTTTATTTATACGTTATTTTTTTATATACACATTTACAGGACACACCAAACATTACATCCAAACCATACACACAAGAATCGAACAATGAAATAGAGGTAGACTATTTTTTTTTCTTTTTACAGCACAATACGTTACATAAAAAATTAGTACTAACAAACAAATAAATTTTAGGACATTTGGGAAAATAGGCCGAAAGATGATGATATAAGACCCATTAAGAAAATTAAGGTACTCGTGTAGATGAAACATTTTGTTACATTCTAAATTGCAGATATGTATTTTATTTATACGTTATTTTTTTATATACACATTTACAGGACACGCCAAAAATTACATCCAAACCATACACACAAGAATCGAACAATGAAGTAGAGGTAGACTATTCCTTTTTCTTTTTACAGCACAATACGTTACATAAAAAATTAGTACTAACAAACAAATAAATTTTAGGACATTTGGGCAGATGTACCAAAAGATTATGAAATTAGGCCCATTAAGAAAATTAAGGTACTCAAATAGATACAATATTTTGTTACACTTTAGATGTCACACTTTAGATGTCACACTCGATATCTATTTTATTTATACCTTATTTTTTTATATACACGTTTATAGGATACACCAAAGATTACGTCCAAACCGTACACACAAGAATCGAACAATGAAATAGAGGTAGACTATTTTCTTTTTTTTTTTTTTGTAATACCTAACATTACAGGAAAGACAAATTGGTATTAATAAGCAAACAAATTTTAGGACATTTGGGCAGATAGCCCGAAAGATGAAATTAGACCCATTAAGAAAATTAAGGTACTCGTGTAGATACAATATTTTGTTACTCTAGATACCACACGCGAATTATATTTTATTTATACCTTATTGTTTTGCATACGCGTTTACAGGATAGACCAAAGATTACACCCAAACCGTACTCACAAGAATCGAACAATGAAATAGAGGTAGACGATTTTCTTTTTTTTTTTGTAATACATTACATTACTCAAAAAACAAATTTTTTTAACGAAAAAATTAATTGTAGGACATTTGGGCAGATAGGCCGAAAGATTATGAAATTAAACCCATTAAGAAAATTAAGGTACACACGTAGATGAAACATTTTGTTACATTCTGAATTGTACATTTGATTTGTATTTTATTTATATATTATTTCTTTATATACACATTTACAGGACACACCAAAGATTAGATCCAAACCGTACACACAAGAATCCAACAATGAAATAGAGGTAGATTTTCGTTTCTTTTTTTTTTTAATTTTATCTTTAAATTTCGTACAAAATCAACGTGAACTCAAACACATGATCGAATACGCAATTTGTAGGATATCTGGGCAGACAGGCCGCAAGAACCAGAAATTAAATCGATTTGGAGAGAGGTACATGATTCATTTCCACTAGCATTTCAATCGTGAAGAATATTCGTCTTCTTTATTTTTTTTTTCTTCTTTTCTTATTAACGAATAAGCATGTGATTATTTTAGACGCCACAAAAGACTATGACAGATATATCGCGCATGCAACACACCTTACCAGAGGTACATAAATTCATACATGCATCAATGGCTGAAAATGATAATTTTCAATACAAATGTTTTTTATTCTTTTTTTTATATATATGTATATTAACCGAAAATTTTTTAGGACACTTGGAAATCGAATGTAAATGAAACGAACGACAAATCTGACACACCCAAACAAAAGTCAGAGTTACCCTCGCTCGAATCGGTTAACAAAGTAGAGGTAGAATAATAATAATTTCCTATCTATCTTGAAAGCTAAAGTGAAGTATAAAAAATACATTTCTTCTAGGAAAAACCTAAGCCAAAATTAAAAACGGTGCGTAAAAAAATTGGAACAGATAAGGTACATAATACTACATACAACATAAGTATACATGACACGCGACGATATCAAAATTTAGCATAATCCGATACAAAAAACCAACTAATTTTAATCGTTTTAGAAACAGGAAGCGGTACCAAAATCTACCTCTCGCAAACATGACGAAGCGAGCAAGGTATTAATTATTTCTACTATGATTTTCCATTTCCACGATTTAACTCGTCGAACACGCGACAAGTCTCTTCTTTTCTTTTTAATATTTTTTTTTCATTTACAATTTTAGAAGAAAGAACCACTGACAAGACGTAGGTCGTCGACAAAGTCAACAGAGGGGTCTAAGGTACAGGGAATAGAGAACAGAGTAGCTTACAGTATCACACAAATTTGTTACACCTCTTCCATTTGTTTATCTTACCTTTTTTACCTGTTATACGTTTTATTCATTCGTACGAATATTATTCAGGACGAAGGACCTACGTTAGATTCGATACCGAAGGACAATATATCCAACGGAACCAAGGTACATAAACGTGTCTCTTAAGAAATAATATCCTCGAAAATTTCGAGAATTTCAGCGTATTAACCATTTGCTGTACTAACGAGAGAAATCAAGCCAGCCAACTGCAAATGCAATGATCGTCTATATTTCTATACTTTTTTAGAAGGAGGTCGTCGCTAAAGCCAAGACCGTCGGAAAGGAAGAAAAGAAGGTACAGGTTGAACACGCAATTTTCATGTACACGTACAATTTACATAACGCGCATACACGTTCATTTTTGCGAACCGATCCCAACACTTGATATTCACGTGTATCAATTTTAGGTGGAACCGAAACCTAAACCCACGATAGAAGAACCCAAGGTACATAACACGTATACAACACATATACACTATTTATCGATGTTCACCTCGCAAATACCTCACACGATACGATTGATTTTTAGAAAACAGAACCCACCAAACCAAAGACTACACTCGGTAAACCCGAGGAGGCAAAGGTACACGAATCATACAATTTTTTACCTAAAACACGTACAATGCTATTTTTCTTCTTTTTTCTTCTAATAATCGGATTACCAACACATTCGATACACGAGATTATTGCCTTTTAGAAAGAGGAACCTGTAGCTAAACCCAAAACACCCGCGAGTAAACCCGAAGAAACAAAGGTACACGAGATTACGCTAATCTTCCTTACACTATCTATCTCTTTCACGTACATAGTCTCCGTGTCAACACTACCCTCGACGTATTTTATTTCTTTTAGAAAGATGAACCTGCTCCGAAACCTAAGGCCACACTTGGTAAACCCGAGGAGGCTAAGGTACAACGCACAAAATCGCGTCAATCTTTTTTCCTTTTTTCATTTTTGCTTAGTTACAACGTTTTCTGCACACGTCACAAACACTGACACGGAAAGTTACACGCACGTTATATTTTTAGAAGGAGGAACCTGCTCCGAAACCTAAGGCCACACTTGGTAAACCCGAGGAGGCTAAGGTACAACACAAAATAGGACAATTTTTTTTTCCTTTTTTCATTTTTGCTTAGTTACAACGTTTTCTGCACACGTCACAAACACTGACACGGAAAGTTACACGCACGTTATTTTTTTAGAAGGAGGAACCTGCTCCGAAACCTAAGGCCACACTTGGTAAACCCGAGGAGGCTAAGGTACAACACACGCAATCGGGCAATTTTCATTTTTTTTTCGATTTTTGCTTAGTTACAACATTTTCCATACTCGTTACAATCACGAGCACAGAAAGTCACACGTTCGCTATTTTTTTTAGAAAGAGGTACCTGCTCCAAAACCTAAGGCCACACTTGGTAAACCCGAGGAGGCTAAGGTATAACACAGAATCGGGCCAATTTTCATTTTTTTCTTTTCTCAATTTTTGCTTAGTTACAATCTTTGCACACACGTTACAAGCACGCATACAGAAAGTCACATGAACGTTATTTTTTTAGAAGGAGGAACCAGCTCCGAAACCTAAGGCCACACTTGGTAAACCCGAGGCGGCTAAGGTATAACGCACAAAATCGCGCCAATTTTTTTTCCTTTTTTCATTTTTGCTTAGTTACAACGTTTCTCGCGCACTTTACAAACACGACCATGAAAAGTCACGTGATGGTTGTTTTTTTAGAAGGAGGAACCTGCTCCGAAACCTAAGGCCACACTTGGTAAACCCGAGGAGCCTAAGGTAGATAAGTCCGCGCTTTTTCGTCCTTTTTGCTTAGTCGTAATATCTCGCCCTGCAAACTCAGACACGAATAGTCACGGAAATATTTTATTGTAGAAGGTGGAACCTGCCCCGAAACCTAAAACCACGCTTGGTAAACCCGAGCCCCCGAAGGTACACGAAATTCTTCTCCCTCGCGCGCATAACACAACTCGCTGAAAACATGACACTCCTAATCATAGCACTCGTCGTATCTGTTCGCACAGGCTGCGTAACTTCTTTACTTCGATTCTTCATCTCACAGACCGAATGAATCATTTTTCAGCGACAACTAAATCGAGCCATCATAACGAACAACGTAACCACGATCTATTCGCAGCCGCTACTAAGATCGAATCATCGTAACCAGAGACATAACAGCTCATCGAATGTCGATTTTCCGCGTGTAATAATTTCCAAAATGTCGTGGAAGATTTTCTCAAATGTTCTTTTCTTTCGTTTCCTTACAGGCGGAGGAGCCGGGCAGAAAATTGAGTCTGAAGCCTGGGGTGAAGGTGAGTGACAGCTGAACGAAGCCTCGAAATCGTTTAGATCGAATAGTTGCTAATCGAAACACGTTGGTTTTTGAAATTGCAGATCGAGGAAGAAGCTAAGACGTTGAATAAAGTGGAACTGAAGGTGAGTAGCTTGTTCATCTCTCGTTTCGTAGTCTGTTTGTAATAAAAGTAGAAATGATCAGTATGGTTGAGGGTGTTTGAGAGATAGCTTTGTAATTTCTTATTATTCGCGAATCGGTATTCGCAAGCTCTCGTTGAGAACTGTTTCGAATAAACGATAAACGTTAAATGCAGCCAGTGGAACCGAAGACGAACGTGGAGAAAATTGGACTGCGTAAACCACCGAAATACGAAATTAAAGCCGAGAACTTTCAGTCTGTTCAACTTAAACCGGTTCAGAGGGAGCTTAAAACGCCACAAAAATCTGAAAATGGCATTATAGCCGATTTGAAGGTATTCCCGTGAAAGGGAATCTAAGTATACATACTCTAAATACTTTCTCTCTCTCTCTCTCTCTTTCTCATCTTCTTTCTCTCTCTTACCTATGCATTCACGCGTTCAACATTTACATCATGGCTGTCTACTTATTCTCGACTTCACGATCGTTCTATTTAATATTAAAAATTCTTTTCCACTCTCGCTTATGGAATTAAAAAAAGAAACGTACATTATTCGATATACTTCTTCTCATTCTGCCACTATTCTTTCAAATTTTCGACAATTCTCTACGCTTCTCAGTGTTACTTCTCGATGTCCATAACAATGGTACAATAAGAGGTTCGTGATTGGAATACTCTTCCTTCACCCTCTCTCTATTTCTCTCTCTCTCTCTCTCTCTCTCTCTCTTCTCACTCTTGCCAACTTGCGAAAGCTCGGCGTAAATAACGTAAATCGTTAACAAAATGGATTAATCACAAACTACAATAACAATCTCTAAGGTATCTTGGCTGTTCTGCCTGTGTACGAAATATCTACTTCTCGACTGAAATTTCCTATGCTGAAATCAACGTTCTATCTATCGCTCTCTGTCTATCTTATCGGAACGGCTTACGATACTAATTGGGATATTGGCTAGGAATTAACGGCGAACCGATTCTAACTCGCAGAAAACCGAAAAGGTGGAGAAGACCGAAGTTAAGAAGACGAAAGCTGCGAAAATGTCGAAGGAGAAGAGCTACGAGCTTCCAGAGATCCCAGATTACGAGCGACCTGTGCTGGAGAAGCCTCAGGAATTCGATTTCGGGGAGCACGTACCTCGAGACAAAACGAAGCTCGATAGGCCGGTCACACAGGTAAGAGCGAGTCCTGTGTCTGAGTAGTTTACGAGATAAGTCCGACTGATCGAGTCACTAATGATCTTTGTTTCCACGCGACCTTTCACGGGCAGAAATTCGACTCTAAGGTGAGTAATCGACGATCGTTAATGCGATATTTATACGATAAAGAATAAGGAAAAGATTCTGCCAAAGCTGTTGCCTCGCTTTACGTCACGGACAGTAGGAATTTTGCAACGTCCCGGCTAAGTATGGTCGATCGAGGCTCGTGAAAATTTCGTAAGCTCGGATAGGATCGAACGTGGGTGATGATCGCGGCAATTACGCGATCTTTATTCGTTTCCTCGTAACCGGTCGTACTTTTAGAATGGCGGAGACAGCGGCGGGAATCGGGCAGCCATTAAATCAAAGGAGCTGGTCACAGTCGCAGCTTAGACGACGATTTTTCTCGCGTCCTCGGCCATTCCTCGGACTAATATTAATCAAAATTTAAGATCGGCGGGGGACCGTTCAGGGTCGTAGACAGTGCGCGATGATTCGAAATCCTTGCTGGCAGATTGGCAAGTGGTCCCGGCTCGTGGTTTTCCGTTGATAAAAGATCGCCGACGCAAATACCTCGGTAATCCTTCGGTTCGATTCGCATAAACGTAATTAACGCAACACGCTCGTATACTAGGACTAATAATCTAACGAATAATATCACCGTTTGGCAACCGATGAATACCCCCGTTCGCTATGCCCACCACCACTCTACATCCGGATACCGGCGAAAGAGGGGGAAGAATTTTGGCAAATAACTGCTCGTATATCACCCCCCTCGGTTCCCTGATTTTTCGACTTGAAAATTAGGATGGAGAAAATGTCGATCGCTATTTTCGGTCTTATTGCGTCCCGCCCGTGCCCGACCATATCTCTTCGCTTTGATTTCTCTCGGGCAATTCGAGAGATCAGTCTCGATTCAGCCTCGATTCAGTCTTAATCTCAGCACGATCGCGATCGCGATCGCGTCCTAGGAGTCGTCGACGAGCGCACACCTTTCAGCGGTTATCGATTCCTGGTAAATCCGATCGACCAGCCTTCGCCGATCCTCTCCCTTTGTCCCGAATTTTCTTCGTTCCGTCGAAATTCTTCTCGTTTGAACGCGTATGCCTATCGAAGTGACGGTTCACGTTTCGAGTCGAAACGGTCAAACGCTTTTAGCTATCGCTTGTTCTTTCGCCTTAATTAACGTAAAACGCAGAGCGAAACTGATCGTTTGTTTTCTCGCGTGCTTAGCCGAAGGTGCCAGAGATCAAAGCACCGGAGACACCGAAGATCGAAGTGATCAAAGACGTGACCCCGGCTGGAAGCAGAAAGAGTTCTCTGATACCCGGTAGCGGTACAACCAGTCGACGGGGCTCCTTGATACCGCCCGAAGAATTGGGTCGCAGACCCAGTCTGATAATCAGTGACGAGGTATGTTACGGACCGTGTTCATCCAAGGTATATCGGCTACACTTTTGGATAATCGAGTGAAGAGCTGCGAAGGTATCGGGTTCGAGAACGATATCGTTCGATGTCTATTTCCGGAAATTTTGGGAACTTTGGGAATTTCCATCCTCGATTACTCCTGTCGAGCGATCGTCGACGAAATGGATACCCTCGCAGCCGCTCCGACTCGAAAAGCAAAGCGATTTGCTCCGGGAGGGGTCTGTCTGGGCGACGAAAGATCGGGCCGTTCGGATTGGTAACGAATTTTATCGCGAAACTCGTTAATCAAAGGTCTCTTTGTCAAATTGCCAAGCAATGTTCTTAATAGCCCGTGATGTCTAATACCCTCCCAGAAATAAACGCGTTCGGGCCTATTTTCGTGCAATTACTCATTACTAATTTTTGATTCGCGAGAGCCGACTGGGGGCGTGTCCAAATGCTGAAATCGGGGTGATAGATCATAAACGACGACGGACAAACCTGTCAAAGGATACGCGAAATACGTTCACCGTGGACGGAAAGTGGGCTTTTCCACGGAGCAAATCGACCGTTTCGAGCGGAACACTCGCAGGTTACTCGCGACCTCGAAACTTGTTCTCTCGAGCTATCGAAATTTCCACGAATCCGTTTACACGAACCACGTTCCAGCGTCGAAGATCTAGATCTAACGCTCGACGGATCAACGACGCGCAGAGTTACCTGTCGCTGATCGAAACGAGATCGCGAGTAACCACAAAAGTACGGAAAATGAAGATTCTAATGCATAGAGATGGTTAGCTCGTGTACAGAACTAGATAAAAGCGTAGGTAGATCAGTGGCTACTGCTGGGGTTAGCCCTAGAATTGTTGGAGTTTTTTGCAATTTCGTAGCAACATCAGTGATTTAGTGATCCCAATCGTGATAGTCTTAGAGCTAGATGTCCAATCACGTGAACCCCCGACGTGTTTGTCTACGATACGATAGCAAATTACGTGTCGGGTGTGTACGTTGATATTAGTGTCAGCAAAGCTAGTACAGCATCCTACTCGTGAATCGTCCAAACAGCCCAGCTTCTGAAAAACCATCTTCCCTATGCCAACCCTTTCTCGTCTTTCGCGAGACATTGTAGCCACGACGATCGTCCGGTCGGGCGTGCAAAGTAACACCGACTTAGGCACGCCGACTGAAAGCGGAAGGGTGTTTAAAGGACGAAAAGACAAATGTCCGCCTCGTTGCACGAGCAGGCGTTTATGCAACGCATTCGCGGGCGTACAAAACGTGCATTAACGAAACGACACAGTTGAGTAAAGGAGAGTTTGGTTCATAGGAGAATAGAAAGCTGCGACCAGGCGAGGTGGTGGACGAGCGCAAGGTGAGGAAAATCACTGGAAATGGAAAACGTATGCCTCGTCTGCAACCTTACTCGACTACCAATGCACTTATTTCACTTTCACTTGTTCTTTTACTCGCACGTTACTTCTTTTTTTCACACAACACTTATTGGAACATCGAACGAAGAGGGAAAGTCTCTTCGTTCGATACTGCCTGCTCACCGCAATCACTTTTTATCTTTTACTGCCAATTTACTTACCGACACACGTCATTTCCAACGACCTCGCGCTCGACGTTGCACGCGTATCTTTTCTATCCTCTCTCTCTCTCGTTTTCTCGAAATCCATTTGGAAAAATCTCGAGCGAATTTCGAATCGGAAGGAAACGATCGAGCGCGAGATCGTTGCCGCGAGCGGAGGTTCCATCGAGATTCGTCGAATCGAGACAAACCTCGGCTCCGTCTCTTCTATGAATTAATAATTATTGACGTGGAAACATGCACCATTGCACCATTGCACCAACGCACCACTGCACCTGGCACGGATCTGTCGCAACCGAGTCTCACTGAGCACTCTATACTCAATCATTGACCACGATCACTATTTAATATTAATACCGTTAATCGTGAAAATGTTCGGAATGATTATGACGATGATAACGATGACAATGAGGATGATGATGATGATGATGATGATGATGAGGATGATTACAATATTAATAACAATAATAACAACTACAATAACAACAACAACAACAACAACAACAGCAACAACAATCACAGTCACAAGAATAATAACGAAAGAAGTATCCGAGGCGTGTCTGGCGCGAAACGGACGTTTTACCGGTCTTAAATCATTGGTGTATAAGGTTTCGGATTCCCTTTGGCATATATTATGGCTCGTATATTACATTTTGGCAAACATTGTCCCGAAAGGACAGGCATCGGCGTTAACAAATGCCCTGACCAGCGACAAACATCTACGGCACGTGAAACGTGGATACTTTCAAACATACCACTCGCGTATCTGTATTTACGCTTATATGTGTCGTTTACTCGTAGTAGGAATGCGTTTTACGCGGCCCGAACACTTGTTACCCTCTGCCAACGCTCGGATAAAACTATCAATTTGCCGGACGCGAAGGACAACTCTGACTTATCGTACTGTACATTTAATACTTTGCCGTCGATTAATCAAACGCGTTCGCGATCTCGATCCAATGGACGCTCTATCGTTATTTCTAGCCGAATCTCGCGGACACGCTGCGGATTTCGTGACCGATTTTCTCGAATCTTCTCCTTCCGATCGTTCACGAAGACCACGATGACGACGATGGATCGCGAAGAAGAGAGAAATTCGCTCGCCATACTTCCCGGTCTCTCTACGTAGAACGCGATAAATCACCGTCGTGGCAACCAGTCGTTTAACGTCCGATGCGAAATATTGCGTACGTCCTTCCAACTAACTACGAAATTCGCGTTACCTCGTGTACCGCAAATTTGTTTTCTAGCAAATCGGAAGGAAAAATGCCACCGATTCGCCAAGCGAATTCGACACATCGAAACGTCGGTAAGGCGAACCTCGAATAATTTTCGCGACGTTTTTAACCTCGCGAACTACGCTTCGCATCTAGAGACGTCTTTTTATAAATTCTCTTCGGTTTCAGATGTTCGCGAATTTTCGCGAATTTTCGCGAATCACTCGTTAGAACTTGCCATTCGACGAACGTCTTACCGTCCAAAGTTTTTCAGTTTCTCATCTACGTTGTTCGCCCACGATTCGCTATAAAGTAAGCTCACGTTGCGCTAACAAGGGACACCGTTGGAGACCTCGCGCAACTAACTCAAGTACTCTCAGAATGCTGACCCTCGTCTCTATAATTTTTTGCAGTTGGGAAGGTTACGCCCCGGCGAGGTGTTAGACCCTAAGGTGAGATTTGTGTTCGCTATAACACAAAGCTTACCTGCCCGAAACCATTACCTGCGAAATGTTTCTCTATATGTTTCTCACTTCTACGGCCTCGATTTTTGCTCCCACTACTTTCACTATATTTTCTCTTTTTGTAAATATATTTTTTACACCGCCCATGCCCGACCCAGCCACGAAGGATTTTGAATTGGATTCCCGCGAAACAGCTATACCATGTAAACAAAGCAGTTTAACAGCGATGAACTAAAACCAGCCGAATGTTGAAATTCCTAGGCGCAGGAAACGCAGATACTGCCGCATACCACCATGGAACGCCGATAATATTAATTTTGCGACTACACCAACTTTTTTTAGTTAAATTTTTTGGAGCTGTCGCCGCTGCTGCCCACTCCCTGCTATTTATACCATCGAGGCCTGTCTCTAAGAGGCCTGTGTTCGTACGAGAGAGTACACTGGCAAATTTTTCCGACAACAACCCCCTTACAGATATCTCGAATCCCACCAGAAACGACTACCTTTTACTTCTACTTTTTCAATGGTTTTTCAATATTTTTCTACTTTCTTTTTTTTCCATTTTTCACGCACCACGTACAGAATAAAGCCGGCCGACCTGGTGAACTGCAGGGGAAAGAGGTTAGCGCACATTACTCTCTTTCAAACTCACGTCGCGTTATCTCGGACGTCTTTTTCTTCCTTTTTCTTTCTTTTTCTTTCTTTTTCTCTTTCTACTTTCTTTCTTCTTTTTTTCTCTCTCTCTCTCTCTCTCTCTCCGTCTCTCTCTCTCTTAATGCGTGCCGCAAAGCTCCGAATTGTTCGCAATGCGCGTCTGTACATACTTTGCAATAGCCGCTCAACGGGCTTCCGGACGTTTTTCGACCGGGTAACCAAGCTCTCGTGCCTAGTCGACGACCCGCGTCTTTGTACGTATTTTTATTTATTTATTTTATCGATACACGTCGCTCACGTCGATTATGCACGGTGTGCTTGCAGTCGAAACGCTCCGCAGCCGTGTAGTATAAACGTGTGCTTGATTCGAGCGAATACTATGTGTATACGGAACGTAGAAATTAGAGGGTGGTAAGAAACATTTATTCCGTTCGTTGTTTGAACTTGCAGAATTGTGATATTTGTTTCTTTTTTTCTGTACAAATTTACAAAATAATTTGTCCGTTATTATTCGTGTCTACAAAGTGACAGCATCCGGAGATTCGGTGGCAGGCGTGCAGTAGTATAACGACGTTTCGATCAGACGAGACCGAATGACTCGTTTCGCGGACGTAATACGATAATGGCCTATTGAAAACTCGATATAAGCACGAGTCAAAACCGAATCTCGTTTGCTCTTAAAAATGTAATACGAATGCCAACTTCTCGCGGATAAACGTGGTATATGTATCTATAATCGTTGACCGTGCTCACTTATATGTGTTAGCGATCATCTCTGTTACACGATAACCATAGGTACGACGTTTACTTGGTCCTCGAAGTACTTATTGTGTTTTATTTTTTATTCGCATCGTCGTACCCGTGTATATTGTATGTACAATTCGATGTGCCTTTTTGTAAATAATCCACATAGAGGAATGCGGTTTAGTCGAGTCGCGATGGTAACTAAACAATGAAAAGGTGGTAAACTTGTGTCAACTTTCCAACATCCTTCCCTCGGCCCGTCTCTCAGTTCGCTATATAAAATTGTCAACTGTGTCTCTCTCTGTCTCTCTTTCTCTCTCCGTTTCATTTCCAGTTCCTCCACGTTTCTTCCTTTCTCGTCGATTGTCTCCCCGTATATGTCTATTAACCATGCCTTATGTATCGCAATTGTATCTAACAGCGATGGCGTGACGACGATCGAGAAGTTCCGTAAGCGTCACCAAAGTACCACTTACGAATCGATCTTCGAACGGACGAGCGATGCAAATAAAAGATTAAAAGATTCGCACTTGAAACGGTTGAACGCTTCTGTGATTTAACGCTTGTAATCGCGATGAAACGATACACGCGTATATCTTTCATTTGCACGCATCGTCCTTACACGGTTCTAATTGTGCAGAACGCATCGATCGATGGTTGAAACCTTTCGTTCTTTCGTTGCAAACGAAATTTATCGAGAATTATTTCCACCGGAAGGTTTACGCGCGAGCAAACGTATCGTCGATCGACGCAACGAACAATAGCTCCCAAGTTTTTATGCGTAACTTACTTATTGTTTCGCAGCGAAGCACCTCTCACGTATTACGACACGAACTTCGTACCGAGACTTAATCTCATAGCGTTAGGTTTAACCTTGTGACTGATCAACTGGTGACAATTGAACGCCGAATTCTCAAGGGTTCGTCATCGACGAAACAAAACATGTCCCCTCCACGTAACTCGAAAACCTCTCTCTTAAATGTATCCTATGCATACCCCTGTATGTACGTTCGATTGCAGACCAATCTGGTTTCCCTCCCCCCTGGTTGGGTATCGTGTCGCAATGTCTCTAATTCGAATCTCGCAGACGCGAATGTCACAGAACCAGAGTGGAAACGCATACTCGAACGTACAGAAGAACCTTCCCTTTCGCTGAGTGTACTCGAGGATTCCGTTTCGGATATTAGAAAGAGGGCAATCTTTTTACTTCGCCTTGCTAATTTGGAACACCAGCCAAGCTCGAAACTGTGGAGAATCCTCAAAGTTACACTGGCTATCGAGTACACGATCCTTGGGAGTACGCAAACGCGGTCAGACACATTTTTCGCACGCGATTATCGGTCTCGTTAACTTCTTACCTTGCCATTTAAGTTCCGAAGACGCGTACCATAGTCTACAGCAGCGTCGAACACGTCGAGACACCTCGGACACGACGAGCCACTTCGACAGGACGTGGCAGAGAATAACGCGCCAAGGAAATGGAAAGACATGGACGAAAATGAACCACCATCTTGACTCTCGATGATTTCCTTACTACGAGTCTCGCGAGATATTACAGGGGAAGAAGTTAACGACACGACGTGTCCACGAGCGAAAGACTCGGTGTCGCCTGGCCTCGTTTCGCTACTCCGATTTACAGATATTAACGTTGTGGTTAACATTTAACGATTTAACGCTTCGTACTAACCACGTAGGTTAACAGTGTGACTAAGGCACGATTAATTTGCACCACGGCACGCGGCATGAGAGCACCGAGCATCGAACAAGTCGTGACTTTCGTTTCGGTCGAAATGTTCGTAGCGTTTGCGAAATCATGGCGGCCAGGTAAATGGACGAACGAACCGGCAGGTAAGTGGACGAAAGTCACGCGCTTGGTCGTTTCAGCTTGCTCGCTTTCTTCCGAACGCTTTCGATGCTTTGAAACGAAAGAAAGCAAAAAGAAACGACAAGAACGAGGAACGACGTTGTTTACCATATCGACGATTGATTGATGCAGCGTCGTCGTCCGAGCACGGACGTCAGAAGACCCAGCGTGGCGGACCTTGAGAATAAGATCAATCAGCCGAGCACACCTCTTCGAGATGTCGGACCACCGGGACCACCTCAAATCGTCGATGTTCAGGAGTCATATTCCGCCGTGGAAGGTAGGTTATCGAGTTTCCTCGTTACCCCGAGTAGCTCGTACAACTGAAAGCTTTCCCCAGACTCGACGGCGTACCTCACGGTCGGAGTGGAAGGCACGCCCGCGCCGACTTTCAAGTTCTACAAGGGAATCACCGAGATCATCGAAGGTGGCCGATTCAAGTTCCTTACGGACACAGAGACCAATACGATCACCCTCTGCATGAGGAAGACGAAGCCCAACGACGAGGGCACATACAAGATCGTCGTGAGCAACATCCATGGCGAGGACTCTGCCGAGATGCAGCTCTACGTTTCCGGTATGTCCTTCTTCCTCTCGTCTTTTCATCTTCGTTCCTCGGATTCGAATTACGATCGACGTGCGCTAACCTCGTTTGCGGTTTAGACGCCAGTGGTATGGACTTCCGCGCCATGCTGAAGAAGAGAAAGTATCAGAAATGGGCGCGAGAAGAGCAAGAACAGGAGAAGGTAGACTTGAAGGAAGTGGAGAAACCGATGCCGGCTTTGAAGAAAGTCGAAAGGGTACGTAGTCGATTTTATCTTAACCTTACTACAAAGGATCGTTCTTTACCACGAAAGGTTGAATACTTTGGATACGAAAATTTGAGTCTTTTTTTTTTCTCTTTGAATGTCTTGAGGGAGCTTGTCTATTTGGTATTGGTATGCATGTCCAGTCGTTGCAAGTCTGTTGCATTTTACTCGTGTTCTCGAATACTTGCGATCATTGCATAACAGCTCGGTACGCCGTATCGTGTATATATCGTTATTCGACGTGGAGAAATATCGCTGAGCGTCTAATTATGTAAACCATTCGAAGCGCAAGGATCTATTACGGTCTATTACCATTGCATACGGTTACGATCTCGATCGGAATTTAGAACGAATTTAGAACGCATATCCGAATGTAACGGAGTAGGTGGAAAATAGTGCCGACCTGTTTGGTAAGTAGGCGAAAATAGTTTCCATAAACGATAATTGGTAATACGCTCTCGAGTACCATCGATTAGCACGTCCTTTCTTTTCGCTCTTTCTCCTTTGTACACGTTTGTCTTCGTAGTCGCTGCACGACAGCGAGCTGCACGGAAGAAGCTGGTATCAAGACGGGGAGGAAATAGTGATCTTGACGGAGGGTGAGGAGGTCCTTCGAATTTCGCTAGACAAGAAGGGTGAAACTAACTGGAGCTGGCTCAAGGTTTTCAGGCATCATCCCCCTCATAGATAACTTCCAGCCCGACATCGACTAGACTCACTGCGGACGTACTACTAACATACCATTCTGTTTTCTACAATTTTAGCGATCGTTGAAATGGTTACGTTTCGCTCGCAGGCCATTGCAAAACTTAGGAAAACTAAAAGAGGGAACGGGGGTAGCCCGAGGAAAGAAATTGTGGAAACAGAACCCCGTACTAACCCGTTAGCGCGTTGTCCGGAATCGCGGGAAATTCGTTCGATCGGGAACAAGCGTTACAAGATCGACGCACACGACTGGAACGTAACTTGGACGGCAGGACAGAGAGTTGTAATTTACATACGAGAGCACACGCGCACTGTGATATTCACGCGTACACATGCTAGTTTAGAGCTAATGCTGCGCTTCTATCTGTACTTCGAATCTCACGTAACGGATCATCTTCATTAACCAATCGTCGATTAACCAGAGATTAATTTCACTCGATATCGATGTGATGAAAAATTCGATCGTACGCACTGCATGAGTAGATACTATAATACTTTGTCGAGTAATACAGCAATCACGAGTATGATTAACGCGATACGCATTAAAGCTCGATTGTGCGTCAGTAACGGCGTGTAACCCAGCGGCAAGCATTATCTCTAAATGTTAAGTGTCTTAGCGATCTTTTATAACGCGGATGGCCCTGAACTGGCACGATCCAAGTGATCGGAGATGGATAAAATCGGAAGAAAGATTTGATCGAAAAGCTTGATCGTAGCGATAATCAGGGTCCTCCGATACTCGATACCCAAAATCGTATAAGAGTGGGATTAACGTGAACGTGTGTGTGTGCCGGGCATGCAGGACGTCTTCGACATTCAGCGCAGGCCAAGTTTGCAGGAGCTAATCACCGACTGGCCGATGCTAGTGACAAGGGTCAAAGAGAAGGTTCGCGTAAACTGTTTAGCAACTTTTTCTTCATTCCACGCGCTCGATTCTGCTTTAATCCCTTGGGCCTGCGATGCCTTTTCGTCTACGAGATCGGTCACGTTTCTCCCTCATCTCGCTAAACGTACCTGCGCCTATGTGTACATATACGCGCGTGTGAATACGAGTATGAAATTTTGCAATCGCGTGGCGCATCCCCAAAGGATTAAAAGCTTCGAAGGACGGAATAAACGCCTACACTTCCACCCTGCAAAGCTTAATCAACCAATACAAGCAGTTTTAAAAGACATTCGTAAAAGCGTGCATTCACGAGAACTATCGGAACGGAAGCTAGGAACGCGAATTCGATCCGATTCTCGCGATCGAGACACGAGATCGCGAGATTTTCCTCGCTCGCTTCACGCGTTTCCCTCAGCCTCTTTGCTTCCGGTTGCTGTGTCAACGACGAAACTCTCGCGATCTTTCGGGAAAGCTGATAAACCTGCTTTGGCCTGCGCTTCGTAAATTCTCCGTTACGCTATGTTTATGTTAATACGACTAATATTTTCATTGGCTGTTTGACGATGATACAAAGGCGATACCTACGCGAGCAAGCACGCCATGTTCCACTTTTATTTCATCGCGAAAGATATCCACAGCGAATGTCTTGTGTTCCTCACGCTTTTTATTTTGCCTGGCACCAGCCCTCAACGAAGATGATACCCGTGTAGTGAACCAGACCTGTGATCGTAGACGATTTTTGTTGTTTTATAGAATAGTGGATCTCGTAGACCCTCTCTCGCCGAATTAATTCCCGACTGGCCGACCCTGCACCATTTCACCAAGACGGAGGTTGGATCGTATTCCTCGACACCTTGAAACACAGTTTCACGATCGACCAGCGAACCTCGCGTGATATCGATGTCTTTCACTTTTATTCCTCCCTCTATATTCTCTCGCTCTATTTTTCTCTCTTTTTCTCACACACACACTCTCTCTCTCTCTCTCTCTCTCTCTTTCTCACACTTTCTCTCGCTCTTTCTTATGAGAATGCGATTCACTTTTCTCTATATGCATCGTTCTCTTCGTCAGTACTAGACGACTCGCCAATCTTTCTCTCTGTGTCTCTTTGAATCTCTTTCATTCTACTCTCCTACATCTGTTTCTTCTAATTTTACCTTCTTCCTCAAATCTCTACGATTTATCACGGTTTGTCTCGACTTGAAGCTTCATTCTTCTTTCTCCGTATCGTCATCCAGCGTCATTTTTTACCGTCTTCAGTCACGTCAGTCTTGCATCGTACCTTTTTGCGGCAAATTTTTTCGTATCTTCTGCGTTCATTTTTTATAGACACATTTTCCAGCTGCAAAGGCTTTCGAACGCTTCGTCCTCGTCGGCAAGATTTTTCTCATTTTTTCCGACCATTTTGTACGACGTTTTTCATTCGCGAAGCGACACCGGTTGGTTTGCGACGCCTTCTTTTTTAAACGTTTTCACTCTTCGTCTTCCTTGTATGCCCAGCAACGTTGTCGTTATTGGCGGTGTTCTTAGATCTGATGGCAATCTGTCCGCGACGAGCTCGCGTCTAACTGAGTTTTCGTATTCACAGAAACAGGAAAGTTTCCTCAAACCACTGGTGGATCAATATGCCAAGGAAGGCAAAGACAAGAAGGTCGTCTTCGAAGCGAACTTCTCCAAGCCGAACTGCAAACCGAAATGGTCCTTCAGGAAGGACGTGAGTCTCTCGATATCCCTAGTCTCTCGTGAATCGTCGAAAAATTTATTCACCATTCCGATATTTTATTTCCCCAGGAACTGTTCCCTTCGTCGAAGTACAAGTTCAAGAACGAGGAAGATTTGTACCAACTTATCATCATGAATCCCAAAGTCGAGGACACCGGAAAGTACACCATCGAAATATCCGGTGTTTCCAGTACAGCCTTCCTCAACGTCGAAGGTTAGTGTCATTCCTCGAATACTCGCGAGATTACGTTAAAGAATCACGACGCATCGGACTTTTAATTCCTCGTTTCTACAGAACCGGATCCAACCTACACGTTCACTAAACCGCTTTCTAAGAAGACGAGCGGTTACACGAAACACGAGGTTTACATGGAATGTACCGTCAGCTCCAACCTAGCTCAAGTTACATGGTACAAAGGAAAGACCAAGCTCGAGGTACAATAGCTACGTTGCTAGTGGGTCGCGCAATGAAAGGTAGGAAAGCGAAGAAAATAAAAATCCTCGTGTTTCAGGATGGCGATACGTACAGCATATCGAAAGACATGAGCGGCGTTTGCCGATTGACCATAAAGAGCGCTACCCTCGAGGACAGTGGCGAATACATTTGTAAGATTAACAAGCAGACGGATAAAACCGAGACGGTTCTAACCGTAGTTGGTACGTTTTAGTCGAGCACAAAGTTACGCTCATCGAGTCGTCGTGGATGTTTCGAAAACCGTGATGTATCTATCATCTCTTCTGTGCAGAATATCCGTATAAATTCGTGAAGGTGCTCAAGTCGCAGCAGCTCGTAGAGAAGGAAACGTTGACGTTGGTCTGCGAGTTGGACGATGCCGGTGGCGAAGTGAAGTGGTTCAAAGGTGACCAGGAGATCGTGGCTGACAAGAGGTAATGTCCAATCTATGTACAAAGACGCGCGGTACAGGTGACACCGAGTATGACAGTTGATACGAGCACCTTTATTTGCGTTCGCGTAGGGTGCAGATCAAAGAAGAGGGCAGGAAGAGGAAACTCATCATCAAGGACACGAAGGTTACAGATGCTGGTCAATACTCCTGCGTGAGCAATGCGGACAAGACCGAGGCCGAGATAGTTATAAACTGTAAGTTGATCCGTTGGCAGGATATAGCTGTAAAATCGATCGATGGAAAATCGCGTTAATTCCGAGATAATCGAATTCCTCAGACGCCAATCGCTTCAACAAGAAGCTGAAGGACACGGTGGCAGTGGAGAGAGAGAAATTGGTGCTCGACGTGGAACTCCAGGACCAGACCGCGCCTGCGGTATTCTTGTTTAATGGCAAACCGATCGAACCGAACGAGAGGGTCGAGATCAAGAACTTGGGCGGTGGCAAGCATCAATTAATCTTCAACAGGCTGGAAATGAGCGACGACGGTGAAATTACCTGCGAGAGTGGACAGTTAACGAGCAGCTGTAAACTGACCGTGAAGAAGGGCGAGAGCAAACCGATCGTCGAAATTCCCGACAAGGTCGAAGGTCCTTGCAGCGCACCGCTCGTGTTCGTTGTTCCTTACAAAAGTGAGTTTCTCTTTTCCTCCTGTTGTTTGTCGATTTAAAAACGATCGTTTCTCGAATACGTCGTTCTCGCCTGCAGTCGAGGGAACGAAACAGAGCCAGGTAGAAGCTAAACTCATGAAGGATGGCAAGCCATTGCCGTTGAAGGAGGTAGAGGTAGTGGTTAGCGAAGATAAGATCACCTTCAAGATCAAGAAACCTTCGCGAGACCAGTCCGGAATTTACCAAGTGAAGATCGGTAACAGCCAAGGCGAGGAAGTCCATGACGTAAATATTAATATGCAAGGTAAATTACTGCCAACCGATAGCTCCAATCTTCGTGCTCGTCGATTAACGTCGCGTAAACGTTAGGACGGACTTAAAATCCTTGTAAAATCTTGTCCAGATGTGCCTGCTCCTCCCACTGACGTGGACGTGAACGAGGTGTTCCAAGACTCGTGCGTGGTATCCTTCAAGCCATCGAAAGACGACGGTGGCTCACCTATCACGAAATACGTGATCGAGCGTCTGGATCTGAGCCTGAAAGCGCAATGGGACAGCGTCGGCGAAGTTATGCCCGGCGAGAAATGCGTTTACAAAGTCAAGGATCTCGTGGCGAAGAAGGAGTACAAGTTCCGTATCCGAGCGGTGAACAAACTTGGCTCCAGCGAACCCGCGATGTTCGGCAAACCGGTACTCGCCAAGGATCCATGGGGTATGCGAGAAATTTTAATTTCGCTTAGGAAATGTATAGAGATCTTTTCGCGATACGACTGAGAGAAAACGACGAGTTTATTTTTGTCCACAGACGAGCCAGGTAAACCCACGAACGTGGAGGTGACCGACTGGGACAAAGACCATGCCGACTTGAAATGGACAAAACCAGAGAATGATGGCGGAGCACCCATCACGGGTTACATAATAGAATATAAGGAGAAGTTTGGCAAAGAATGGGTAAAGGGGAAGGAAATCGAAGGGGACATAACGGAAGCTACCATCGATGGCCTGAAGGAAGGCACCCAATACGAATTCAGGATCAGAGCAGTGAACAAAGCTGGTCCTGGCGAACCGTCCGATGCTACGAAACCGATCATAGCCAAATGTCGATTCGTCAAACCGTACATAGTTGGCGAAGGCTTGACGAATCTCATCGTTAAGAAGGGTCAAGTCATCAAGTACGACATCAAGTACGCCGGTGAACCTGAACCGGAGGTGCATTGGTTCTTGGGAACCAAAGAACTCGTTCAGGATGCCGCTGAAAGAATCACGATCGACAAATACGAGAGGAACACGGTACTCACCGTCAGGAAAACCACCAGACCAGATTCGGGCAAATACAAGCTGGTTCTGTCCAACAGCTCCGGAACCTGCGAGAGCATAGCGGATGTTGTGGTCCTTGGTACATCCCTTTATTCCGTTCTTTGCTTCATCTTGCATCGTCTCGTTCTATATAACGCTAAACGTTTCCATTCTCTTCCCTTCAGACAAGCCTGCAAAACCAGGAGGTCCACTGAAAGTAGAAGAGGTTCGTTCCACTCACGCGAAAGTAAAGTGGCAGAAGCCCGAGGACAATGGCGGTACCGATATCACTGGATATGTACTGGAAAAGATGGACATGGATACGGGCCGATGGGTCCCTGCTGGAGAGGTGGGACCAAACGAAACCGAATTTACCATTACCGGCTTAACTCCGAAGAAGAAGTACAAGTTCCGCGTGAAAGCTGTGAACAAGGAAGGTGAATCCGAACCGCTCGAGGTCGACGAACCTGTCCTTGCCAAGAATCCTTACGGTGAGTAGACAATTGCCATCCTACATCATTGCCCGTGAATAGATAATTGCCTTCGTTTCGAATTTATTAATCTTACCCTTCGGTCAACCCCAGACGAGCCTGGCAAACCTGGAAAACCGGAAATCTTCGACTACGATAACGTAAGCGTGACTTTGAAATGGGAGAAGCCGGAAACCGACGGTGGCAGACCGATCACTCACTACACCATCGAGATGAAGGACAAATTCGCGGTGGATTGGGTCGAGGTAACGAAAACTGCCGATGCCACTACGCAAGCAAAGGTCGAGGGACTAAAGGAGAAAATGATCTATCAATTCCGAGTTCGTGCTCATAACAAAGCGGGTCCAGGTGAACCTAGCGAACCTACGGACAATCACCTCTGCAAACACAAGAACCGTAAGTTCAACTCCGTTCATCCCAGGTATTCTTCTCGCGTTCGCATTTCTAAACCGATGTGAAATCGTAGTTAAACCGAGAATCGACAGAAGCAACTTCAAATCCGTCATCATCAAGGCCGGACGTACGCACAAATGGTCGGTGGATATCATCGGAGAGCCACCACCAGAGGCTAAATGGATTTGGAGAGATAACATCCCTCTTACAACCACGGAACGTATCAAAATCGATAACGTCGATTATCATACTGACTTCACGATCGTGAACGCGATGCGCAAAGATACCGGAAGGTACACCCTCATCGTGGAGAACGTTAACGGGAAGGACGAGGAGACCGTGGAGCTCACAGTTCTCGGTAAGTAAAGCAACTTTGAGTACACAGAGTCCTAGCCATGACCGTGAAACGCAATGGAACCTCTGGATTTAACGGCCACGTTTGTTAATCAGGCAAGCCAGACCCGCCGAAAGGTCCGTTGGAAGTGACGGATATCACGGCAACCTCGGCAAAGGTGAAGTGGGAGAAACCAGAGGACGACGGTGGCGTTCCGATCAAGGAATACGAGATCGAAAAGTTGGACACGAAGACTGGCAAATGGGTGAGAGTAGGCAAAGTACCAGGAACTTCGCCGCTTACGGAATTCGAAGTGACTGGATTAAATCCAGGTGGCGAATACAAATTCCGCGTAACCGCGGTCAACGACGAGGGTGATTCCGAACCTCTGGAAAGCGAGCGCCCGATCATCGCTAGGAATCCATACGGTGAGTCTTCCGATTTTTTCCAAATACTTCAGCCATCGTTCGGACACTTTCTCGATCATCTTTCACGACAATATTCATCGGTTATTTTCAGACGAACCACATAAACCTGGAACACCCGAGATCACCGATTACGACAATGAATCCATAAGCTTGAAGTGGACTGCTCCGGACTTCGACGGTGGAGCGCCAATCGAGAAATACATAATCGAGAAGAAGGATCGTTACAAACCAGACTGGGAGAAGGCGATGGAAGTGCCTGGAAATCAACTGGAGGCTAAGGTAGGTGACCTGAAGGAAAGGGGCGAATATCAGTTCAGGATCATTGCCGTGAACAAAGCCGGACCATCTCCTCCATCCGACGCGTCGAAGATGCAGATATGTAAACATAAAGCACGTAAGTATACCTTTTCAATCCTTTATCCTGCGATGAAGTGTCCCGGATAATCTTCGGATTCTGATCTTTGTGCAGTGAAGCCAAGGATCGATCGTACAAACTTGAAACCCATTACTGTACGAGCTGGCAAGGTGGTCAAGTACGACGTGGATGTTCGTGGCGAACCACCTCCAGAGATTACCTGGTACCATGCAAATCAAGCGGTTAAAAGTGGCGAGAACATCGAGATCGTCAATGTCGATTACAACACGAAGCTCACTATTACCGACAGCGTGCGCAAGAACACTGGCGTATGGAAAATAAAGGCTGTAAATCCACACGGTGAAGACGAGGCCGAGGTTGAAGTCACCATACTTTGTAAGTCTACGTTTCGGGTTCGATTGCATCACCGAACGTCAGTGATGACACTCCTCTAACTGTTACTCCTCTAAATGTTAACAGCGGTTCCTGGAAAACCAAAGGGTCCCTTGAAGGTGTCCGATGTGACGAAGAGTGGCTGCAAGTTGAAATGGGGAAAGCCGGAAGACGATGGTGGCAAACCTGTGACTGGGTACCAAGTGGAGAAACTCGACAAATCCACGGGAAGATGGGTTCCGGTTGGACGCACTTCGGATACCGAGATGGACGTGAAAGGTCTTCAAGAGGGCCACGAATATGAATTTAGAGTGAAAGCCATCAACGAAGAAGGCGAATCCGAACCACTAGTCACCGATAGCACGACGCTTGCAAAGAATCCTTATGGTAGGACGATACTCCTCTACTGCTCGTTTTCCAATAGCAAATCGATTTCTCGACGAGGCATAATATTCGCGAATTAAAAATTCCCAGATGTTGCCGGCAAACCTGGTGTACCAGAGTTGGAGGATTGGGACGTGGATCGCGTTGACCTGAAATGGGAACCACCGAAAGACACCGGAGGTGCAGCTATTACGGGTTACATAATCGAAATGAAAGAAAAGCCATCGACGAACTGGCAAGAAGCTACCGTAACTGAATCCCCGCAACCAAAAGGACGAGTCACCGGATTAAAGAAAGGTTCGGTCTATCAATTCCGTGTTCGCGCTGTCAACAAAGCTGGTCCCTCCGAACCGAGTGACCCAACGAAGCCGCATGTCGCGAAGGCACGATTCCGTGAGTATCTTCCAGCAATATCTGTAATTTCCAGCAATTTATAGCTGCCACGATTTCATAACGTTCCACGTTTTCCCACTCTCAGTGAAACCGCACATCAACCGTGACAAGCTACAGACGATCAGAGTGAGAGCAGGGCAGATGGTGAAGCTGGAAGTCGACATCGAAGGTGAACCACCGCCAACCGTCACCTGGAGCTTCGCTGGCGCAGTTCTGCAAACCGGTGCTAACGTGAAGATCGATAACGAAGACTATCTGACAAAGATTCACTTGACAAACACTACTCGCAAACTTAGCGGGAAATACACGATCAAAGCCGTGAACGATTCCGGACAGGACGAGGCTGACGTGGAGATCAATATCCTCGACAAGCCCGGAAAACCCGAGGGTCCCCTAGAAGTGTCAGACGTGCACAAAGAGGGATGCAAATTAAAATGGAACAAACCGAAGGACGATGGCGGTTTGCCCTTGTCTGGTTTCGTAGTCGAGAAAATGGACGTAACCACGGGTCGGTGGGTGCCGGCTGGAATCGTTGACCCTGATAAAACGGAGCACACCATTACCGGCTTAGAACCTGGCAAGAGATACGAGTTCCGCGTGAAAGCTGTGAACGAGGAAGGAGAGTCGGAACCTCTGCAGACAGATGTTCCCATCGTCGCTAAGAATCCTTATGGTATGAACGATTATTTCCCAGATGAATTAACCCTAGAAAGATTTTCCAGATACCGCGTATTCGAGATTATATCTAACCGAACTCGATCTTTCAGACGCTCCTGCTGCACCTGGCTTGCCAGAGATCATAGACTGGGCCGAGAACATGGTGAAGCTAAAGTGGGAACCACCGATACGAGATGGCGGTGCTCCTATTACAGGCTATATAATCGAAATGAAGGACAGGTTTGGTACATCCTTCGTCAAGGCTGCCGAGGTCGAAGGACCGATCTGTACGGGAACAGTGACCCGATTAGAGGAAGGAAATCAGTATCAATTCAGGGTTCGGGCTGTGAACAAAGCCGGTCCAGGTGAACCTAGCGAGGCTACCAACCCTCATACTGCCAAGGCTCGTTGGCGTAAGTATAATCTTCGCTTTATCTTTCACCGACGTTTGCATTCTTCGATAACGCGTTTGTTCCGAAACTACAGTGAAACCCTTCATCGACCGTACCAATCTGCAACCGATTACCGTGAAAGTTGGTCTTACCGTGACTTTGGACGTGAACATCATCGGAGAGCCACCACCAAATGTCACCTGGTTCTTCGAGGACAAAGAGCTCAAGTCGGACGACACGATACGCATCGACAATATCGATTACAACACCAAATTCTTCATCTTGAAGACCAAGCGAGCTCATACCGGAAGGTACGTGATTACAGCGAAGAACGAAGTAGGCGAAGATACCGCTGACGTCGAGATTATTGTCATCGGTAAACCGAGCAAACCAAAGGTACGTGTTTCATTCCGTTCCTTACCTCCCATTAGCGTGATAAATATTGCCACATTTTCACGAGCTTGCGCTTCGTAGGGTCCTTTGGAAATATCTGACGTGAACAAACACGGTTGCAAATTGAAATGGGAGAAACCCGATGACGATGGCGGTGTGCCGATCGAATATTACGAGATCGAAAAGCTAGATCCCCTCACCGGACAATGGATCCCGTGTGCAAAATCCACGGAACCGGAAGCCACGGTAACCGGACTCCAAGAAGGCAAACCCTACAAGTTCCGCGTGAAAGCTGTAAATCGGGAGGGTGAATCCGACGACTTGGAAGCAGACAAGTCCATCATTGCGAAAAATCCGTTTGACGAACCCGGTAAACCAGGTCGTCCAGAGATCAAAAATTGGGATAAAGACTTTGTCGATCTTGAATGGACTCCGCCCAAAGATGACGGTGGTGCTCCGATCGAGAAGTATATCATTCAAATGAGGGACAAGGAAGGGCGACAGTGGATAGACGTAGCGAAGGTTCTCGGAGACCGTACCGTTGCCAAGGTCACCGATGGTATCGAGGAAGGTCACGAATACGAGTTCAGAGTCGTTGCCGTTAATAGAGCCGGACCCGGAGAGCCTAGCGATACCTCGAAGAGCGTTGTAGCCAAACCGCGATTCCGTAAGCCTATAAGCTGTCCAAATATATCTTTAACCCCATGTCGATTTTTCCCCGTGCTAATAAATACTCTTTCTTTTCGCCCTTTCCACCTAAAGTGGCGCCACGCATCGATCGCAAGAACTTACAGAAGAAGGTGATGCGAGTGGGTCAAATGTTACGAATCGAGGCAGACATACAAGGTGAACCGCCTCCACTCGTCACCTGGAAACTCAAGGATGCCGTTCTCAAGAGCATGGACCGCCTTAAGATCGAGAACGAAGACTACCATACCACTTTCATCATGAGTAAATTGCAGAGATCCGATACCGGTACCTACACTGTCATTGCCAAGAACGACAGTGGCACCGACCAAGTCGATGTGGAGATCCTGGTATGTTTGGATTCCATTTCGACACTCGAGTATATTCGTATTAAGAAGAAGAACAGAAATGAGTAATAACTGTTGCCTTAGGTGATGAGCAAACCTGGAAAACCAAAGGGACCACTCGAAGTGTCAGACGTGACCGCAGAGGGATGCAAATTGAAATGGGACAAACCCGACGACGATGGTGGCGAACCCGTCGATCACTACGTCATCGAGAGGATGGATGTTGACACCGGAAGATGGGTGCCTTGTGCCACGAGCAAGACTCCGGAGGCCGACGTCACCGGCCTCAACGAAGGCAAGGACTACATGTTCCGAGTGAAGGCTGTCAATTCCGAAGGTGAATCCGAACCGTTGGAAACGGCAATTCCGACAACAGCGAAGAATCCTTACAGTAAGTAGATGTTACTTACATTCGTCGTGTGGTATGCTTCCTTCAAATTCCTGCAGATTCAATACGATCCTCGTAATCTTCATAATCTCCTTTGCGTAATCATAGCTGAGCCAGATGCTCCTAGCAAACCGGACCTCAAAGATTGGTCGAAGCACCACGTGGACTTGAAATGGAAAGCACCGAAGAACGATGGTGGAGCGCCGATCGAGAAATACATCATCGAGAAGAAAGACCAGTACGGCAAGTGGCAGAAAGCGGCTGAAGTCCCTGGAAATAAAACAGAGGGCAGAGTCGAGGACCTGGTCGAAGGACAGAAGTATCAATTCCGCGTGAAAGCCGTGAATAAGGGCGGTCAGAGCAAACCTAGCGAACCAAGCGACAGTCTAGTTGCCAAGGATCGTTACGCGGCACCAAAGATCGATCGCACGAACTTGAAAGACCTCACGATCAAGGCTGGTACTCATATCCGATTGGACGTAAAAGTTAGCGGCGAGCCGCCTCCAACGAAAACTTGGTACCTGAACAAAGCGAAGCAGGAGTCTGGTGGCGTTTTGACCATCGAACTGGAGGACTACAGGACCAAGTACGTGGTGTCGTCTGCCAGTAGGGCTCACTGCGGCACACTGACGCTGAAAGCGGAAAACAGCTCTGGCAAAGACGAAGCATCGATCGAAATTTTGGTACTGGATAAACCTAGCAAACCGGAAGGTCCGCTCAAGGTGTCCGATGTACACAAAGAAGGATGCACACTGAAATGGAATCCGCCGCTAGACGACGGTGGTACGCCGCTAGATCATTATGTGGTCGAGAAAATGGATACGGAAACGGGAAGATGGATTCCGGTGGGACGCACGAAAGAACCCACGATGGTCGTGGAAAATCTGGTACCTGGCCAGGAGTACAAGTTCCGAGTGGCAGCTGTAAACGCAGAGGGTGAATCGGAACCTCTGGAAACTGATCATGGAATCGTAGCAAAGAATCCATTTGGTTAGTACTCGATCTCAGTCTCTCGTGCTCGACATGGGAGAAACAAGAAAACTAAAACGTTATACTACTTTTGCAGATGAACCAGGCCCACCTGGTCGCCCAGAAGCAACCGATTGGGATAAGGATCACATAGACCTAAGATGGACTCCACCCTTAAACGATGGTGGATCTCCAATCACTGGATACATAATAGAGAAGCGCGAGAAAGACAGTCCACGATGGATAAAGGCTTGCGAAACCGGACCCGACTGTAAAGGACGCGTCGATAATCTCGACGAAGGCGTCGAGTACGAGTTCCGTGTGAAAGCTATCAACATTGCTGGACCCGGTGAACCATCCGACACCAGCAAACCGATTACAGCCAAAAGCCGACGACGTAAGACTATTTTCCCATGCCTATATCCATTAATTACCGGTCCTCTAGATCTTTAGATCTTTGCATCCACTCCCTAACGTCGTAATGCCTGTTTACCCGCAGTTGCACCAAAGATCGACCGTAAGAACTTGCGCGACATCACTGTACGCGAAAACGAAGGATTCCACTTCGACGTCAAGATCATCGGAGAACCACCACCAGATGTTACTTGGGTTATCAACAACAAGAGTATTCAGCAAACAACCTTCCGCAGAATCCAGAACGTACCGTACAACAGCAAGTTCTTCAACGATAAACCCGAAAGGAAAGACAGTGGCATTTATAAGATCACAGCTGTCAACCAGTACGGATCTGACACGGCCGAAGTCGAAGTCACCGTTGTCTGTGAGTGTCCGTTTTATCGACTCGACGAACAAATTTTCATTTCCAGCAAACGTGACTGTGACTAACGTTGATTATTTTATCGCAGCTAAACCTGACAAACCCGAAGGACCACTCGAAGTGTCCGACATTCACGCAGAGGGATGTACGCTTAAGTGGAAGAAACCGAAAGACGACGGTGGAGAACCCATTGAGGGATATCTCGTGGAGAAATTCGATACAGATACTGGTGTTTGGTTACCAGTCGGCAAGACCACAGGGCCGGAAATGAAGGTGGAAGGACTGACACCTGGACACGAATACAAGTTCAGAGTGAAGGCGCTTAACAAGGAGGGAGAATCGGAACCACTGGAGACGTTCAGCTCCATCATAGCCAAAGATCCATTCAGTAAGTGTTCTCGAGACGAACGTTAATCTCGAATGATGGAATTTTCATCGAGTGAAAATTTGATAACGCGACGAATAAATTTCTTCAGCTGTACCGAGTCCCCCGGGTGCACCGGAACCGGTCGACTGGACCGCCAACCAGGTCGAACTTACTTGGAAGGAACCGGTCAGCGACGGTGGCTCACCTATCACCGGATACATCATCGAGAAGAAAGACAAATACAGTACAATGTGGGAAAAGGCTTTGGAGATTGAATCACCGACCACGAAGGGCCTCGTTCATGGACTCATCGAGGGTAACGACTACGTCTTCCGTGTAATAGCCGTGAACAAAGCTGGACAATCGGAACCTGGCGATACCAGCAAGACGTTCACCGCTAAACCACGCTACTGTGAGTACCTCGTTATTAATTTCGATAGGCTATACTCGGGCATCGCATTGTCAAAAATATGGCATTGACCCAATTTATTTACTTATCCGCTACGATATTGTATCCCTGAGACGAAAGAAGCGTGCATCCTCGTGGCAAATATAGTATCTCACATAGTTTGCGAATGCTTTACACCCATCGCTCTATAAATAATCGGTATTCCAATGTCGAACGATCGCTCACCTATAAATCTCCTTCCGACAGTGGCACCCAAGATCGATCGGCGCAATCTGCGAGATGTCACTCTGTCTGCTGGTTCGTTGCTGAGATTCGACGCGAATGTGATCGGCGAACCGCCACCACACATCGAGTGGCGATACGGTGCTATTCCCTTGCATTCCGACAGAAAAGTACAGATCGACAACTCAGACTACAGCACCAAGTTCAGCATTCGACCTGTGGCCCGTGACGACAGTGGCGATTACACCGTCACAGCGAGCAACTCTTCCGGAAGAGACTCCGTCACCATACAAGTTACCGTTACGGACAAGCCGATGCCGCCGGAAGGCCCGCTTCAGGTGTCCGACGTGCACAAAGAGGGCTGCAAACTGAAATGGAAGAGACCGAAAGACGACGGCGGTACTCCGATCGAGTACTACCAAGTGGACAAAATGGATCCCGAGACTGGTTGCTGGGTACCTTGCGGCCGATCTACCGAGCCCAGTAAGTCAAACCTCGATCTGCCTATGTTGCTACAGTTTTGGATAAACGAATACTTATTCGTCTAATAATACGTCTGTATTCCCCCAGATCTGGAGGTAACGGGATTAACACCGGGCAAGGAATATCTATTCCGAGTCAGTGCCGTGAATGCCGAAGGAGAGTCTAAACCTCTAGAGGCGGAACAAGCGATCCTAGCCAAGAATCCGTATGGTGAGTAAATGGAAAATGAAAATCACCTGCTGGGAACGTTAACAAACCCATCGGTTTTGAAAATTTCAGACGAACCTGGCAAGCCTGGCGACCTGCGCGTCACGGACTGGGACAAAGATCACGTGGACCTCGCATGGACTCCTCCATCGACGGATGGTGGATCGCCCATCACCGGCTATATAATCGAGAAGAAAGACAAGTACGGCGAATGGGAGAAGGCCGTGGAAGTGCCGGCAGACGATACGTCGGCCACTGTTCCCGACTTGATAGAAGGCCAACCTTACGAGTTCCGCGTGCGAGCCGTGAACAAAGCTGGCCCTGGCGAACCTTCGGATCCAACGCCAACGATCATTGCCAAACCGCGAAACCAAGCTCCAAAGATCGATCGTACGAATCTGGTGGAGATCAGAATCAAAGCTGGTCAGAACTTCAGCTTCGACGTGAAGGTTTCGGGTGAACCTCCGCCAACCACCAAATGGATGTTAGGCAAACGCGAGGTCCGACCCACCGACCGAATAAAGGTGAAGCACGTTGACTACAACACAACCCTGAGTGTTAGGATGGCTACCAGAGCGGAATCAGGAAAGTACACGATCACCGCTGAGAACATAAACGGCATGGACGAAGCTGTCGTGAAAGTGACAGTCCTGGACAAACCGAGTCCACCTCAAGGACCGCTCAGAGCGTCCGACGTGCACGCGGAAGGCTGCAAACTGTCCTGGAAACCTCCGGAAGACGACGGCGGCCAACCGGTTGAGAAGTACGTCGTTGAGAAGATGGACGAAGCAACTGGCCGCTGGGTACCGGCAGGAGAAACGGACGGACCCGAGACCTCTGTGCAAATAGAAGGGCTCACTCCCGGTCACAAGTACAAGTTCAGAGTTCGCGCTGTGAACAAACAAGGCAAATCGGAACCGCTAGCAGCGATGCAAAGCATCGAGGCGAAGAATCCTTTCGGTGAGTGCATCGTTATTCTTTATGGTTGCTTTGCGATCGTTCTCGCTATTAAATTTATCTGCCACTTTAGACGAACCTGGCAAACCTGGCACTCCGGTCGTCAGCGACTACGACTCCGACTTTGTCGAACTTCAATGGGATCGTCCACAGGAAGACGGTGGTTCGCCCATTACCGGTTACATCATAGAGAAACGAGACAAGTACAGTCCCACCTGGGAAAAATGCGCGGAAGTCGAAGGCGACGTAAATCGCGGAAAGGTGAACGACCTCATTGAGGGCACCCATTACGAATTCCGAGTTAGGGCGGTTAACAAAGCCGGCCCTGGTGAACCTTCGGACGCTTCCAAGTCTCACTTGGCTCGACCCAAGAATCGTAAGTATCTTCGTAAACTATATTCGTTTATTTATCGTCCTCTTCTAACCTAATCTCGCGTATCGTGTGCGTTTGCTACGTGTATATAAATGAATAAAAATGTTCGTCTTCAGTCCCACCAAAGATCGACAGAAAGTACATGCTGGACGTGAAAGTGAAAGCTGGTGGTTTCTACGACTTCGACGTTCCTGTGATTGGCGAACCACCGCCGTCCAAGGAATGGTCGCTGAAAGGATCGCCACTTTTGCCCAGTGACCGTATCAAAATCGTGAACGAGGACTACAACACGAAAGTTCGCGTGATCGAAGCGAAACGGTCCGACTCCGGTGTATACACTCTGGAAGCAAAGAATATCAACGGCAGAGACAGCGCGACCCTAAACGTGAACGTGCTCGACGTACCATCTCCACCGGAAGGTCCTCTGAAGATCGACAACGTGACAAAGAACGGTTGCAACTTAAAATGGCGGCCACCGAAAGATGACGGTGGTTCCGAAATTCAGTACTACCAAGTGGAGAAGATGGACACGGAGAACATGAGGTGGGTGCCGGTGGCCGAAGCTTCGTCCACTTATGCCCATGTGGATCACCTGATCGAGGGTCACGACTATCAATTCCGCGTACGTGCTGTGAACAAGCAAGGAGAGTCGTTGCCACTCACCGGTATAGAAACGATTACCGCGAAAGACCCGTACGACAAGCCAGACAAGCCCGGAGCACCTGTCCCCACCGACTGGGACAAAGATCACGTCGACCTGGAATGGGCACCGCCGAAGAAAGATGGCGGATCACCTATTACGGGATACATCATCGAAAAGAAACCTCGCTTTGGTCAGTGGGAGAAAGCCGTGGAAATCGACGGCCCCAAGACAAGCGCCAGAGTGCCAGATCTCGTCGAAGGCCAGGAATACGAATTCAGAGTTATTGCCGTCAACAAAGCCGGACCTGGCGAACCGTCCGAAGCTTCTGTTCCTGTCGTCGCGAAACCACGTTTCCGTAAGTAACGCGTTTCTTTTTCTTCCTTCCTCTCGACTCTTTTAAAAGAGACTCTATCAAGCGTGAATATTCTTCTCACAGTTGCACCGTCCTTCGATCCACACGCATTGAACGACTTGGTCGTCCGAGCCGGACAGAAGATCAGCTACATTATTCCCATCCAAGCATCGCCTAAACCCGTGGCCACCTGGACCTTGGACGGAGCAGTAATTATGGCCGACTCTCGCCACGAAATGTACACCACCCATACCGAAACCACGTTTGAAATACCATTCTCCGTCCGTTCCGATACCGGACGTTATGCTTTGACTTTGGAGAACGAGCACGGAAAGTTCAGGTAATTTTTACTCGCGCGTTCATTCCGTTTCATCGGTTTCGAGAGTGAGAAACGGTGAAGTGACGAAGGAACGCGAAACGTTTCAGTTCGAGCGCTAGAGTGACCGTGCTGGACAGACCATCGCCACCGCAGAAACCGCTGGAGATCAGCAAAATTACCAAGGAAGGTTGTCACCTGGCTTGGGGTCATCCGTTGGATGACGGCGGTAGTCCCATATTGCACTACGTGATCGAGAAGATGGACTTATCGCGTGGCACTTGGTCCGATGCTGGCATGAGCACTATATTGAGCCACGAAGTAGCCCGACTCACGCATCGCAAGGAGTATCTTTTCCGAGTGAAAGCTGTCAATACTATCGGAGAATCCGACCCACTCGAAGCAACTAAGAGCATCATCGCCAAGAACGAGTTCGGTTAGTATGCATCTGTGGACACTGTTCAAAGATTTTCAGTTACTCCTATAACAACTTGACGAGAAATCTCTGCTTTCTGCTATAAATACGACTCGATGCCTTCAGATGAGCCCGACGCGCCTGGAAAACCACAGATCACGGACTGGGACAGAGACCACGTCGACTTGCAGTGGCCAGCGCCAAGCAGCGACGGTGGCTCTCCACTTATAGAGTACATTGTTCAGAAGAAAGAAAAAGGTAGCCCGTACTGGGTTAACGCGGTTCACGTGCCACCGAATCAAACGAGCGCAACAGTCCCGGATTTGACGGAAGGACAGGAATACGAGTTCCGCGTAATTGCCGTAAACGCTGCCGGACAATCGGAACCGTCTGAGCCAAGTGATCTCGTCACTGCCAAACCCCGTTATTGTAAGCAATCCTACTTTATTCGCTGACTCTAACGAATTGTCGGAACGTCTGTTCGATGACGAAATTGAACGTTCCAGTGGCTCCAAAGATCAAGACGCCTCTGCAGGATATTCGAGTCAAGGCCGGTCTCATCTTCCACGTCGACATAGACTTTGTCGGCGAACCAACTCCGGAGGTCACTTGGACCGTTGGAAGCAAAGCAGTGGAGACCAACGAGAGAACCACGGTCACCTCGATTGGTTACCACACTATTGTTCATACAGTGAACGCTCAGAGATCCGATTCTGGATTGTACCATTTGTTGCTGAAGAACAGCAGCGGCATAGACGAAGGCAGCTTCCAGGTGATCGTTCTCGACAGACCCGGTCCACCGGAAGGTCCACTGCAGTACGAGGAGATCACGAGTCAATCCGTTACCCTATCTTGGAAACCACCTAAAGACAACGGCGGTAGCGAGATCACGTGAGTAACGCGATTTGAATTAACAACGAAGACCGAAAGAGAAGACCGAAAAATAACGCGTTTTCGTTCTATCACAGTGGATACGTAATCGAGAAACGCGATTTGACTCACGGTGGCGGCTGGGTACCAGCAGTGACCCATGTCAATCCCAAGTACAACCACGCCACTGTACCAAGGTTGCTCGAAGGTACAACCTACGAGTTCAGAGTATGCGCGGAGAATCTTCAGGGACGCTCGGAACCTCTAACCACCGACCATTCGATTGTCGCCAAGAACCAATTCGGTAAACTTCTACTCTTACTTTTGCACTAACTACTAATTAGCTAGCGCGTGTACTTTGAGGTTACGCCGATACTTTTTTCACGATTCAGTCGCACCTGGACAACCTGGCAAGCCGGAATGCGTGGACGCAGACAAGGACCACATAAAGATCAAGTGGGCTGCGCCGATCAGCAACGGAGGCTCGAAGATCATCGGTTACGACGTGGAACGACGCGATCGTGCAACTGGTCGCTGGCTGAAGGTGACCAAAGAGCCAGCGAAGTACTGCGAGTACTACGATGATCACGTGACCGAGGGTCACCAATACGAGTACCGAGTTACCGCTATAAATGCCGCTGGCTCTGGCAAACCTAGCGAAACATCGTCCGTGTTTATCGCGAAACCGATGAAAGAGAAACCGAAACTGAACTTGGACGCGTTGATTGGACGCAAGATTAAGGTTCGTGCCGGAGAACCAATCAACGTCAACATTCCATTGTCTGGAGCACCAACTCCCACTATCGAATGGACCAAAGGTGGAAGACCTCTCACGGAAACTCTCAGAATATCGGTAAGAGAACGATGATAGCGTTGCTTTAATGGAATCAATGATATTTCAACGAGTGCTTTGTGACCCTTAACTTAATTACAAACTTTCAGACGGAAACTAAGAGCGATCGCACGAATCTGTTGATCGAAAAATCCGTCCGGGACGATGGTGGTATTTACACGGTTACAGCCTCGAACGAGCATGGAAAGGACTGGGCTGACATCGAGGTGATCGTAGTGGACAGACCGGGACCGCCTCAAGGTCCGCTTCAGTACACTGGCACGACGCAAGAGTCCGTATCCTTGTCCTGGAACCGACCTCTCGACGACGGTGGATCCGACATCACCAATTACATCGTAGAAGTATCGGACTATGGAGCCGACAATTGGCGCCAGACGCCTGGATATTGTCCAAGAACGAGCTACACCGCCAAGGGACTTACAGAGGGCAAGAAATACGTGTTTAGAGTACGGGCTGAGAACATGTACGGAGTATCGGAGCCATTGGAGGGCAAACCGGTGATCGCGAAGAGTCCATACGATCCACCGGATGCACCCAGTCAACCTGAAATCCTTGGATACACTCCCAATAGCTGCAGTCTCCTATGGAACCCGCCACTCAATACCGGTGGCAAGCCTATCACCGGTGAGACATGCTCGGAATCCTTCTATATCGATAGCTTAATCCTTCCAGATCGAGTACGTTTTAATACATCCATCGACTCTTGCGTTTACAGGATATTACGTGGAAAGACGCGAACGTGGTGGCGAGTGGCTGAAAGTGAACAATTATCCAACTCCGAATACCACGTTCACGGTGCAGGATCTTCACGAAGGATCTAAATACGAATTCAGGGTTATCGCCGTCAACGAAGCCGGACCCGGTAAACCCAGCAAACCAACCGAACCTATCACAGCTGGACACCAACGTCGTAAGTAGAATGCTATTCTCTCTACGTTTCGATTAGCGGATCGAAGAAGGAGAAAACCAACTGACGATCGTTTCTCAGTTCGTCCCGATGCTCCTGAGCCACCGAAACCTGACAGGATAACGAAGGATTCGGTAACCCTGAGCTGGCGGCCACCGCGCAGCGATGGCGGCGCTAAGATCAGAGGCTACATCGTTCAGATGAAACAGAGAGGCCAAGACGAATGGGACGACGTGAACGGTGCCTTGATACCGACTAACGTGTACACGGTACCGAAACTCACCGAGGGCGAAGAGTATCTGTTCCGAGTGATCGCGGTCAACGATATCGGAAACAGTGATCCGAGTCGGCCGAGCAATCCAATCGTCATCGAGGAACAGCCTAATAAACCTGTCATGGACCTCGGTGGAGTTCGCGACATCACCGTTCGCGCTGGTGAAGACTTCTCCATTCACGTGCCTTATATCGGCTTCCCCAAGCCCACTGCTACCTGGTTCGCTAACGACGTTATTAAAGACGAAACTGATCCACGCGTACACCAACAGTTGGCCGACGACTATGCCAGGTGTGTATAAAACCATTACGATGATTACGGGTTGTATGTTACCGTGGATGCCGATAGGGATAAACGTTACGAACGAATGTCGCCTGTTGCAGTCTCGTGGTGAAGAATGCGAAACGTTCGGACGGTGGACAATACCGTCTTCAATTACGCAACTCCTCGGGCTTCGACACTGCCACAGTGAACGTCAAGGTTCTAGATCGTCCAAATCCACCTGTGAATCTCCATGCCGACGAATTTGGCGGAGATGCTCTCACGCTGTTCTGGAACCCGCCGAAAGACAACGGTGGTGCCGATATCACTAATTACGTTGTCGAGAAACGGGAACCAAAGGGCACGTGGTCAAAGGTTCGTTTGTCTAATGATTAAACGCAAGTTTCGAAACTTTACACCCAACCCCTATTCCTTACATCAGGTGAGCAGCTACGTGACGACACCGTTCGTCCGAGTGAGGAACCTAACCGTTGGAAGCGTGTACGAGTTCCGCGTGATGGCTGAAAATCAGTACGGCACTTCGGATCCTGTAACAACGATAGATCCGATCAAGGCCAGACATCCGTTCGATCCTCCTGGAGCACCTGGAACACCGAAAGGTGTGGAAACGACAGAGGACAGCATAACGATTACCTGGACCAAGCCTCGTCACGACGGAGGCTCTCCTATCCTCGGCTATGTCATCGAGAAACGCCTGCTCAGCGAGGACAAATGGGTGAAAGCTACACCGTCCCTCGTTCACGAAACTACCTACAGGTAAATACTTGCCCCTCTTACTCGATCGCGAGATGGTATTTCGTCCGAACGATAAACGTCAACCGTGATTCCACCTTTTCAGAGTAACCGGTCTCATAGAAAATCACGATTACGAGTTCCGCGTTGCGGCCGAGAACGCTGCTGGACGCGGACCATGGAGTTCCAATTCCGACGTGATCAGAGCCAGTGCACCGCCATGTAAGTTCATGCTCTTCGTTAGAAATAACGAACCTTCGTCCTACCACTGTGCTCCAGATGTCACTGAAAATGGCACGATATCGCGTCATGGTAATCACGATTTTGCTCGAATTTCTTCCAGTCCCACCGAAGATCACGTCCGACCTGAGCATCCGCGACATGACGGTGATTGCCGGAGAACCGTTCACCATCACCGTTCCCTATACGGCGAATCCAAAACCGAGACCAAGCTGGTCTATCAACGGCGAGGAGGTACTCACAGGTGACAGAATTAAATTCGACACCACCGACGTCGCCTCGCAATTCATCAACAAGAAAGCCAAGAGGTCCGACACGGGAACATACACCATCTATCTCACGAATACCGTCGGCACGGATTCTGCTTCGTGCAAGGTTCTCGTTGTCGGTAAGCATTCGCAAAGAACCTTCGTTGTTGCAAAGAAATGAAACCTTTCGAGTCGATTTACATAACGATGCCCCGCAGACAAACCATCCCCGCCGCAAGGACCACTGGACATTTCCGATATCACGCCCGAAACCTGTACACTGTCCTGGAAACCTCCGTTCGACGATGGTGGTTCGCCTGTTACGAATTACATCGTTGAAAAGTTCGATCCGGCTGGCGTAAGTAGAGACCTCTCTTTCACTATTTTCCGTCAAAGGTATCTCTGGATTTTTAAACCATCGCCAGCTAATAAACGACGAATCATTTCAGTATTGGGTAAAACTGAGCAGTTTCGTGAGAAACACTCATTACGACGTGATCGGCCTCGAACCGAACCGCACGTACAACTTCCGCGTCCGTGCAGAGAACCAGTACGGAATATCAGACCCGTTGCAGGCCGACGAGCCGATCACCGCGAAATTCCCATTCACGGTGCCCGATCCTCCTGGACAGCCTCGCGTTATCGACTGGGACACTTCGAACGCGACCTTGGTATGGACCCGACCGATATCCGACGGTGGATCTCGAATTCAGGTACGCGAATCGAATAACAAAATCCCACGTGAAACCATGTTCGAAATAAAAGGAAAGAAAGTTGAATTCGTTTTTCGTTTAGGGCTACAAAATCGAGTTCCGCGATCCCGCCGACGACGCGCAATGGCGAGTGGCAAACGACTACCTGGTCAAGGACACGACTTATATCTGTTACAATCTGTTGAGTGGACACGAATACGAGTTTAGAATACGCGCAAAGAACGCAGCTGGCTTCAGTAAGCCTAGTCCAACCTCTGCGCCGTTCAGATTGAAGAGCAAGTTCAACGTGCCCTCGCCACCAGGCACCCCGCAAGTAGTGAAGGTTGGCAAGAACTACGTCGACCTGAAATGGGAAGCTCCAATCTCCGACGGAGGCAGTCGCATCACCGGTTACGTTATCGAGAAGCGCGAGGTAGGAAGCGCACTTTGGGCAAAGTGCAACGAGTACAACGTTACCGACACCGAGTATACCGTGTTGCACCTGATCGAACGCGGCGACTACGAGTTCCGAATCTTCGCGGTGAACGCTGCAGGAAGGTCCGAACCGAGTTCTTGCACCACGCCTGTCAAGATCTGCGAGGTCGAAGGCGGTGAAAAACCGGAATTCATCAAAACTCTGCCAATCAGTACGAACATCCCGTTGGGCAAGACTTTGGTACTCGAATGCGAGGCTACCGGAAAACCATTACCAACCGCAAGGTTTGCATCGAGTCAAAGCTTTCCCCTTTTTCCAAAGATTTTCCAATGCGAAAGTTTAACTTTATTTTACCTTGTACGTTTTAGGTGGCTGAGGAATGGCAGAGAGATCACGATCGGCGGTCGCTTCCGAGCCGAAGCATTCGACGGAATATACAGGCTCGTGATATCCGAAGTCTGGGACGCAGATGACGGTGATTACAGTTGTCAAATCTCGAATCCGCTCGGTATAGCCACGACCACGTGCCGGCTGAAGATCGGCACACCACCTCGCATCGAGCGCATGCCCGATGACTTGTACCTGGCTGAGAACGACAACACGAAGATCAAGATTTACTATAGCGGTGATCAGCCGATGGACGTTACCTTGAAGAAAGACGGCCGCAAGGTGGTCGAGACTGGCCATATCAAATACACCGTGTTCGACGAATATCTCATTATCTTCATCAAAGACATTCAAAAAGATGACGCTGGCGTTTACGATCTTTCCATCTCGAATGACAGTGGTAGCGTGAGCGGTTCGTTCAACGTGTACATCACCGGGCTACCTGGCCCGCCAACCGGACCTCTCGATGTCTCGGACATTAATAAACACACCTGCACCCTGTCCTGGCATCCACCCAAGTTTGACGGTGGTCTTCGCGTCACTCACTATGTCGTCGAACGTCGCGACATCAGCCACACCCACTGGATTATCGTTTCGTCGTTCTGCAAAGAATGCAGCTTCATGGTACAGGGCCTGACCGAGGGACAGGAGTACCTGTTCCGCGTGATGGCAGTGAACGACAACGGAATGGGCCCGCCACTCGAGGGAACCAATCCCATCAAAGCCAAGGCACCGTTCGATCCTCCTGGTCCGCCTGGAACACCAAAGGTAACGGAAGTTGGAGGGGACTTCGTGAATCTCTCTTGGGAGAAGCCGGAATCGGATGGTGGCTCGAAGATTCAAGGCTACTGGATCGACAAACGCGAAGTCGGTAGTCAGGCCTGGCAGCGCGTGAACGTCGCCATTTGTCTGCCTACGCAGATCAACATCAGCAACCTGATCGAAGGAAGGCAGTACGAGTTCCGCGTGTTTGCGCAGAACGCCGCTGGCCTAGGACCGGAGTCGAAAGCTTCGACTTCGGTGAAGATCGCTGATCCTCAGGCAGCCAAAGCTCCGGAGGTGATACAGCCGTTGCACAAGGTGAGCTGCGTGCAGAACCACAACGCGCACTTCCAGTGCAAGATCATCGGTATTCCAAAGCCTACGATCACGTGGTTCAAAGGTGCCCGGGAGATTGTTAGCGGATCCCGATACAACATATACTCGGAAGGCGACGTGCACAATTTGATTATCCACGACGTGTTCGGAGAAGACGCGGACGAATACTTCTGTCGCGCTGTGAACAAGTGCGGCGTGAAATCGACCAAGGGCGAACTTCTCATCAAAACGCCACCGAAATTGAACGTACCGCCTAGATTCCGAGACACCGCGTTCTTCGACAAAGGCGTCAACGTGGTTATCAAGATTCCATTCACCGGATATCCGAAACCAAAGATCACTTGGGTGAGAGAGGGAGAGGTAATCGAGTCAGGAGGCCACTACACCGTGGAGGTAAAGGAAAGACACGCCGTGCTCACCATCATAGACGGCAGTCGTATCGACTCGGGACCTTATCGTATCACCGCTGAAAATGACCTGGGTCAGGACAGTGCGATCATCAAGATACAGATCAGCGATAGACCAGATCCACCGAGATTCCCGCAGGTGGACAATATCGGTCACGACTCGTTGGCTTTGAGCTGGAAACCACCAGTTTGGGACGGCGGTAGCAACATCACCAACTATCTCGTCGAGAAACGAGAACATCCGATGACCAGTTGGATCAGAGTCGGAAACACCAGATTCTGCTCGATGGCGGTCACCGGGCTCAGCCCGGGACACCAGTACGACTTCCGAATTTGCGCGGAAAATATCTACGGTAGATCCGATCCAAGCGAAGTGACGCCGCTGATCACCACCAAGGGCACCGTCAAGAGAGAGTTCAAGCAAAAGGAGTACAAAGTGGACGAGACCGGCAAGAAGATCCGCGGACGAAGCGACGAGAAGCCACGAGATTACGACCAATTCGTGTTCGACATCTACAGCAAATACGTGCCGCAACCGGTCGAAATTAAACATATCTCGGTTTACGATAGATACGACATTCTCGAGGAGATCGGAACCGGCGCGTTTGGAGTGGTTCATCGTTGCCGGGAGAGAGCCACCGGGAACATATTCGCGGCCAAGTTCATCCCTGTGTCCCACGCGATGGAGAAGGAACTCATCAGGAAAGAAATCGATATAATGAATCAGTTGCATCATCCGAAATTGATCAACCTTCACGATGCCTTCGAGGACGATGACGAGATGGTCCTAATCTTCGAATTGTAAGTACTCGCACGGAGCTTTAACCGAAAGGCTGAAGAAAGTTATGCTCACCTGGTACACCGGCCAAAATTCTCCACCGAGATCTCCATGCTTTCTTCTCAATTTGCACGTTTCTTACTTGTCCTCTAGCTTGTCCGGTGGTGAACTGTTCGAGAGGATCACGGCGGAGGGCTACACCATGTCCGAGGCCGAAGTTATCAACTACATGAGGCAGATCTGCGAAGCCGTGAAACACATGCACGAGAAGAACATCATACATTTAGGTAAAAAGATCCGTTTTTCTTTATAGATCGTTGTTCAAAGAGACGAAGAGGGTTTTCTTCTGCTAGAAAATTAAATTCGCTATTATCCCTTTTTCAGATATCAAACCCGAGAACATCATGTGCCAGACGCGTAACAGTACTAACGTGAAACTGATCGACTTTGGCTTAGCTACGAAACTCGATCCCAACGAGGTGGTGAAGATCAGTACCGGCACGGCAGAATTTGCCGCACCTGAGATCGTTGAGCGCGAACCAGTCGGCTTTTACACGGACATGTGGGCTTGCGGTGTCTTGGCTTATGTCCTGTAAGCAATAATCCGCCTCTATAGGAGAGACGCAGGCTTTCTTCCTATTTTCTTCCACGACGATTACAATTAATTCGATTGAAATCCACTCTACAGGTTAAGCGGTCTTTCCCCGTTTGCCGGAGACAATGACATCGAAACTCTGAAGAACGTGAAGGCCTGCGACTGGGACTTTGACGAGGAAGCCTTCCGCGACGTCTCCGAAGAAGGCAAGGACTTCATTAGACGGTTGCTCGTCAAGAACAAAGAGTACGTTCTGTTCGTGATATATCGATGATACACATCGAAAAATCTCGATACGAAATGACGCATTTATGAATATCTTCCTGTTTAGAAAGCGCATGACTGCCCACGAATGTCTCCTGCATCCCTGGCTAACCGGTGATCACAGTAACCGTACGACACCAATTGCGAGCAGCCGGTATCTGAACTTTAGAGACAGGTTGCGAGCCAAGTATGAGAACTGGGACAAATACGTTCTTCCTATTGGTCGATTAGCCGAATATTCGTCTCTTAGGAAACTGTTGATTGAAAAATACAAGATCTACGATTCGTGCTTTGGTAAGAGATAACGCTCCTCTTGGAAAGCGGTGTATAGGGTCGAGAAAAATTTCTCACTCGCTAAAATCCGATCGTTTTCAATCGATATGCTTAGATCGACGACAAGCGGCGCCTAGGTTCGTCATAAAGCCGACCAGCGCGTTTGCATACGAAGGACAGAGCGTGAAATTCACCTGTCGTGTGATCGCAATTGCTTCTCCGACTCTCACGTGGTTCCACAACAACCAGGAACTCCGGCAGTCCGTGAAATTCATGAAACGATACCACGGCGACGATTATACCTTCATCATCAACAGAGTGAAACTAGAGGACAGAGGAGAATATGTGATTAGGGCAGAGAATCACTATGGCTACAGAGAGGAAGTCGTCTTCCTGAATGTGCAACGTAAGTTTCAAGTGTCCTATCGTTCACTATTTTGCAGCAGCATGTTTTCGGAACCATAAGCTATCGGATGATTAAAAACATCATCATTCTCGACTTTCAGCGCTACCTAGGGAAATTCCAAAATACAGACCAGAACTGCACCCAGTCCGAAGGAGAGAACCACTTGGTTACAACGTCTGGCTAGAGACGATCGAATCGGCACCCAACTTCACCTTCTTGCTTCGACCTCGTGTCATTCAAGTCAGACAAACTTGCAAACTACTTTGCTGTCTCAGTGGTAATCCACCACCGACGGTGAAATGGTACAAAGATAGAGACGAGCTGTCCAAGTATCACTACGCGATGACAAACGCAGACGGTGTTGTTACAATGGAAATAATAGACTGTAAACCAGAGGATAGTGGTAAATATCGTTGCGTCGCAACCAACATCCATGGAAAGGATGAAACTAGTTGCGTAGTCATCGTTGAAGGTAATTTAAAGGAGGAACATTTATATTTTATATTTTATATTTATATTTTATATATACCTGTACAGCTTACCTTTACCTTTATTATCGATTACAACGAAACGTATGAAATATTTATTCATAGGCACCGGAGAAACCGAGGAGCAACTTAAATTAGCGCACGACCTCCTACATTCCGGAGGTAGGATTATATTTGCACAAAGTTGTCTTTTCCATTTAGTTTCCTCGAATCAAAGACAAAAACAAGAGATGAACAGACGTGCATCTGACTTTCCTACATTTTTCGTTACTTTTCTTCCAGCATGCAGTTTGATTAGATTCGAAACTAATTTTCCAATTTATTTTCTTGCACGACGATAGAACTCTTATCTTATGTGACAAATTTATAGATCGGAAATTCATCGAGCAACCGCTAAAACCGGCACCGCCACCGATCGTGACAGTACATAAAGCCGGTGGATACAGTGGATACAGTTCTACTACCACACAGGGTCATAACTACAGTAGTACTACTACCACTAAGCATAATTCCACGAGTTCATCTTCCTACAAGGTAAGTGGAACGGAAAAGAATATGGCATCTGTAAAAGAAAGATACTTCGACAAATACAATTGTGTTTTAGACTACTGACTCCAGTTCGGAGAAACGAAGTGTCAAGAAATATGGACTCGATACCGCCGGCAGTCCATCTCGGTCCAGGAGTACGACAAAGGAATTGATTTGTAAGTCTGAATTATTTTTTTTAGAAATAATCGCATCGATCGAACGAACGACCGTGATAGTTGCTTTTGCTTAAATATTATTTCACGAAGATCCTCCGGATGAATCGATGAGAGCGCCGCAATTCACGAAAAAGTTAAACGATCTGACCATCAATGACGGAGAACAGTTGGAATTAACCGTGAATGTTGACGGCGATCCAGAACCACAGGTTAACTGGTCTAGAAATGGCAAGGCAAGTATTTCAATATATACGAGAAGAAAGTTAAATACTAACGAAATCATGACATAACCTTAAATCGATAAACATTCCTTTTAGACGCTAAGTTCGTCTGGAATAATGAGCTTGAAGTACAAAAATGGAGTTGCAACTCTCACGATCAACGAGGTATTCCCTGAAGATGAGGGTGAATATACTTGCCAAGCGAGCAACAGCATCGGTACCGTAACTACCTCTTGCAAATTAACCGTGAAACGTAAGTAAATCACGAAAACTCGTAAACAATGAATCCTCGCTGCGAAAGGGTAGAGATGAATAATTGAAGAAACGCATGCGCATTTCAGCCATGGCGAGTGCAGCGGGGAAAAAGAGAACTGACGATAAACCTCCAAAGATCGTAGACCACGTGACCAGTATGTTTGTAAAGGACGGTGAAGCCGTAACCTTAAGTTGTCGAATAATTGGTGCGAAAAAATTCGATGTGGTCTGGCTTCACAATAACAAGGAAATCAAACCTAGCAAAGACTTCCAATACAGCAGCGAAGCTAATATCTATAAATTAAATATTGCCGAGATCTTCCCCGAGGACTCTGGTACATATACCTGCGAGGCATTCAATGACGCAGGAGAGAGCTTCTCGTCGTGCACATTAAACGTACTTGGTGCGTTGACGATCATTTCCCGAACTGCCTTTCTCTACTTAGTAGAATAAATACGTGCCGATTCCAACTCGAAGGAACGAAAGATTTTACAGCTCAATTTTGTTTGCAGTTCCAAACGAGGAACCGAAGAGTCCAGTCTTCGCGACATTCCCACAATCTGCAACGGTAAGCGAAGGCGAATCGGTTACATTTGTATGCAAGACTGAAACCGCGCCTCTGAAAGGTAAGCGAAATCTTCTACCACTTCCGTCACGAGAATTCCTAAAGTGTAAAACTTTCATAAATTTTAATACGCATTTTGTTTTAATGACACACACACACAGTAACGTGGTTGAAAGACGGAAAGGCACTCCCGGAATCTAGCAGCAGGTACCTCTTCAGTTCAGACGGCGACAAATCGTTCGAGTTGCGTATCAAATCGTGCACTGCTAGCGACGTTGGTCAGTATGTTGCTCGTGCGATTGGTAAAAAGGGTGAAACCAACGCTGCTTTCGCCCTAAATGTTACCAGTGCTAACGAATAGTGAAATCGCTGATTTCACATGTGACAAATCGCAACACGACAAGGTTTGATCTAAGATTTATTTATTCTATTTATATTCCTCTTCCCACTTCATTCCCCATATATTATAAAATAGAATGTATCAATCACAAAGGTTTGATTATTCCTTTGCTTTAACGTATCTCTTTCAGGTTTCTAGAATTTTATCGGGAGGACAACGATAAGAAAAAAGAAATATGTAAAAATGAACTGTATAAATATGCGACTTCAAAATAATCGCGATCATAAGCGACGTAACGCTCGTGTATAAAAGAGAAATTGGAAAACTACTGTATTCATGCTATTCTATATGTAAATTATCATGGAACGTTATATTTACTTTTTGTGTGCTTATCATATCGCAAAAAAAGAAACAAATGATATCGTCATATGATAAAAAAAAACAATCCAAAGCGTTAAGCAATACGGATAGCACGCGCAATCTATACGCTAATACGAGCTTTGCTGTATACACGAATTAGCATATTTTAAGTACACAATCGTACATAACGGCAGCGTAAGATGTAAACTGAAAACATTCGCTATAGTCAGACTTGCAGGATAACCAGCATCCTCGTACATTAAAACATCAATAAAAAAAATCTTGCTAGGTGGCTATACGAGGTAGTTTAACTCTGCCGAGATGTACGTCCTTATTCCATGTAATCGTACGCACTGTCGTGTTATACATGTTTGAAGACTGCTTCCGTTACAAAATTTCAGATAAATAAAACATGATTCAAATATAAAGGGTATAGATTTTTCATTTTCCTTGGATTTATGGTACTATAATTATATGAGCCATTTTACGTCACATTCGAGTATATAAGATATTTTAATTACACAGTGGAGTACAAAGAACAGGGATCCATAATTTTAAAACAATACGATTTGGGGATAACGGTACGTGTATAATCTTTTCTTATTATAGTGTGTGCATGCACGTATTTATATTCATCATACACAGGGGTTAGCATCATTACACCAATACCAGAAACGAGCAGGAATCTTATCGTGTACCAGACGCTATGGCCTATTCTGATAGGCTTAATACGCGCCATTACAATACGATCTACATCTTCTTTCAAACATTCTCCTTCCTCGCAATCAAAGTCTTCTTTTGCGATATCAATTCTTGTGAGAATCATTTCATCTACATCATTGCCTTTTAAAAATGATAAAAATCATTATAAAAACAAATAAATATTGTCAATATTTTTTATCCAACATTTACCGGTTATAAGAAACGTTGTATCACTCGTAAGAGTCGCAATTATTTGCTTAGAAAGTCTACAGTGTAAACGTTGGGTTATCCAACAATCGTATTTAAGCCAATAAATATGAATGGACGATTTCAGAAAAATTAAACATTCATTCACAACAACATGAGGAGGAACTTCGCTAAAATTCTCAGGTGCACCCGCACCTCTTGTCCACATACCTGAAATTATTCAATAATTACTAATAAATACCACCAAATATTTACAAGTGCCTTTTTTATTTTATAAAATCAATTTTTAACCTGTGTGAATATCAAGAATATAGACTGTACCAAACTTTAATCTATATATTCCCACACCACCTACTACGAGTAATTTATTTCCTATAAATACAGTAATCATATGCCTCCGTGGAACTTTTAACCTTGCCTGATAGTACCATTTTTTAGAAAGAAGGCAATAACGTGAAATAATTTCATTAAAATGTCCATTCTCTAATCTTAGTTCTCCTCCAACTGTATATACACTAAAACCTGAAACATTGTAACAAACCCTTAATTAAATATTTCTACTTCCTTAACAAGCCTCCACAAAAATGTATGAGAAATATTTATAATTTTACAACCTCTAGCAACAACTTGCATTCCAGTTAACCATTCTCCTGGATACTGAATACTATGTAATTGTACACATTTGCATAGAGCATTACCATCCCAAGTATACAAATATGCAGCCATGATGCCTTTTTCATCTGTTTCATATATGACTGTACCTTGGATAAATTTGGGTTGCCTCCTTTCTTTGATATCCACGATATCTGACAGCTACAATTAAAATATTTAAAATTATATTTTATAAAAATCAAACATGAATAAACGTATAAAAAAATATTATTTACCACGTGATGCTCTATCCATCCACTTCTTATGTAATTTAAATAATCTGTATTAGATCTTACATTATCGTTTCCTATTAACTGAATAATATTTTCTGCGGGTAATTCAAAAAGCAAAGATTGAGGAAGATTATCGAATTGGTCTAAGCAAACAGATAGACAAATATCTTGTAATATCTTTATGCTCAGTTCCTGTGCTAATAACCATATGTCAATTACTTTCTCTGGCAATAACCAACATAAAACTATAATATCTATAATATCATTTGTCAGTTCATCAACCACAAACAATATACTCAATTGTAACAAATTTAATAATTCTATAAAATTATCTTGCATAAACTTTGTCATAGAAACCTTTATGGAATGACAATCGATGTACACACAATCTTCATGATGAACCCATTGAACAAAATTCTAAAAACATTAAAATTATGTAATTACTGCACAATAACGTACGAAAATCTTTTTATATTAACTAATTATACGTATATTACAAAAATAACCTGTAAAGTATGTAAAGCAATGTCATAATTAATGGTGTGTTCCTTATTGTGAGAATCGCTAAAATTGTGAGAAAATAGGGATGCAAAATAACAACTTTTACTCGCAAGTTTTTCTCTATTCACGTTTATACGATTTTTATTTAAAATCAAAGTTAAGTATTCCTCCATGCTGTATTATCAACATTACTTATCCAATGAACATTTGTTTACAACGGTTTTTTGAATCGCCAAATACGTTTTGATCCTTTTCATTATCTTTGAAAAGAGAATTAGAATTAAGCTGTTATTATTTGCTAATCGAGCAAAATTATTGTTCGAACAGAAAATAATACACATCCAATCGTTTAGAAATATTATTCGTTGGAAAGCGATACCACATATTATATCAGTACGTACTATTCAGAATTACAAAGAAAACAAGGCTAAGGAATACGAGTCCGATTGGTCGCTGTGATTTATTTTTTCTATTTAGCTTGGTTTACTACTTAACTGTATAAATTATTACAAAGTAATACGATAAAATGAATTACAATTTAAAAAATTCTCAAACATCTAAAACTTTATTTTTGTTCTTTATTATTATTTACCCCATCCTTAATTGTATAGCAATACTTCATTTTAATTAGTACAATGATTACCGTGCACGTTAATTGACAATATAATATATGCTATATTAATAATGTTAGTAGTTACTTAGAAATGATTTTTAAATTGTATGATATACAAGTGTAATAAATGTTAAGTCTATCTTCTACTTCGTCTGTGGTTAAAATGTTTCTGGAATCATTGAATCGCAGTGTAGACAACCGTTTTTGTATTGAGCATAGGATGTGGGCGCTTCGCGTTGTTGCGATGTAAGAAGCACAGAATATTAAATTTATGGTTAATTTGGATAAAAAAGCTTTGGAAACAATCTGAAATGTTGTGCAATTAGCATTAACCTACGAGTTATGTTAATATCTATACATTTTATTTTATGTATTTTTGTAATCTAAAGACACAATGGATCAAGAACTTATTGAAAAATTTATCGAAGTAACGGGTAAGTAATGTATCGTTTTAATAATATAAAAAATTAGCAAATTTATTCCTATTTTATATAAAACTTTTTTATTTAAAAAATTGACAAATGACGCATCTTTAATTATTTTATATTTCAATAATGTTAATAAGTTACTTTACATTTGTTATTAGGGGAGAGTGAAGCCACAGCTCATCAATATCTATCATTAACCGATGGAAATGTGGAAACTGCAATAAGTCTAATGTTTGATAGTGGTCAAGCACCTGAACCGTTACGCACACCTGATCCAGAACCAGAAGTGAGACCTCCCATTTTACCAGTGCAGGAAGTTTTGGTTCCATCTGGTCCAATATGTTCTCTTCCAAGATTATCAACTAATGTATTTGACAGATTTAGGGATTTTGCAGTAGAAACCCGTGAATATATTTTATTTTATAGTAGATAACAACATATAAGATAATTATTTTGTTTAATCATTCCATACTTAATGTAGAACGACAAGAAGAAGAAATGACAAGAAAAGTAGCTGGGGTGAAGCAACTGTCTTATTGCAAATCAAAAAGACTGGAGGACTTATTTCGTCCACCATGTGGTATTCTCTTTCTGGGTTCCTTTATGGAAGCCCGTGAACATGCCAAATCATTAAACCGTTGGTTACTTGTAAATATTCAAAACCCGCAAGAATTTTCTTGTCAAATCCTTAACAGAGATGTATGGTCCAACCAACAGATTCAAGAAATTGTAAAGGATCATTTCGTTTTATGGCAAGTAAGTATTTCAGAACATGTATATCTAACTTTTATTAGAAAAAAGGAAGAAGGAAACAAAAAAGATACATTAATATTAATGCATATCTAAACAGATTTTATCAAATACAAGTGATGGTAGTCGTTATGTGCATCTATATGATGTATATGAATACCCCTATCTAGCAGTAATAGACCCTAGGACAGGAGAGTGTATCAGAACTTACAATCATATTACTGTAGATATTTTAATGTCTGCTTTAAATGACATGTTGAGCTCGCATCCATCACCGGGATGTGTAACAAATAATTCAATTCATTTAAAAAAATGGAATAACTGCACTGCCACATCAACGAAAGAAAGTTCTGCGTCCAATTCGTCAGTATGTGTAAAGCTTTCAACATTTGAATTTGGTTATTTAACACGTTAAACGCCACGCCGGTTCCTAGGGACTGGCGCTAGATTTTCCGTTCAGAACTCGCCGGTCCGTACGGGCCGGAAGGATCCGCATGACAGCTAACTGGCGTAAACGGAACGGCACGTAAAACCGGCGTGGCGTTTAACATGTTAATTTCTAAGGTTTTACTTCACATTTAATTAAAATTATTATATTTTACTTGTAGGATTGTATTAGTAATTCTGTTAAGGCATTTAAACATACAATTGATAATTTGGATGATTCGGGTAAGCAATATTTTCAAGTATTTATAATAATAGATTTATATCTTGAATGTCTACATGATTATTATACCTATAGATATTACAAATGCTACGACAGCTATTCAGAATTCAAGTACAAGTATGTCAGTTGATACATTTGAAAATATATCTAAAAAAAGAAGAATGAATGAATCGAGTGAATTGAACGAGAAAAATCAAGAAACAAGTTCAAAGGTATTATTAAAATACACGTAATTCAGTAGATAATTGTGACAGAATAATACATGTTTATTATTTCAGAACGAACGATCGTACGAAGTAAAGTCCGATATAAACGAGACTAAAACCGGTAAAACTTTTTAATTTCATATTACCTTTTATTACAGCTGATTTCTTGCGATTAATAAAAGTGTATTTGTTATGTAGATAGTGCATCTGCTCTAAGACTTTGTTTAAGACTGCCGAATGGTAAGAAAGAAACAATATCAATGTCCGCCGCAAATACTATAGAAGTAAGCATAACAATTTTATTAACGGTATATTTAGCAACATTAAATCAAAATACACGTTAGTTCTTATTTTTTATAGGACTTCGTAAATAAAATGGAAAATATGGGTTACGCTTCTACCGAGCATACTTATTTAGTACCGTTTCCCAAAACAAACATTGGGACGCTTTCTCCTCAAATACATTTATCAGATACGATTTTATTTCCAGCAAATACAGTATTTATAACAAAAATATAGTGGTCTGTTAGGTAAGAGTAATATGTTTTCATAAATTAAATGATATTTAAATTAACGAAGTACGTTGTATACTGTTGCAGATGATCTATTATAGCCCAAATATTTCCTTTTAACTACATTGTGGAATATATCATAAGTTTGACGAGTATTACGTATCTTATAGTATATAGAAATACACTGTCATGCATATTCACTTACCATGTATGTGTAATTGCAATCATATTTGTCAGCGTTCATTACTATCGTTATAATAATTTTTAATATGTTTTAAATGGAATAATGAAATGTATAGTAGGTTGAATCGTAGAAATTTAATTGACTTTTGTATAAATAAAAACAAAATTGACATCATTTAGAATAATAGAAGTTGCAAAAATAGATTTTCATCTTCAGGTATCAATATCTTTTTTCTTATGCGAAACAATATTTAAGATGTGCTTCCTAAATATGTATGTATCGTTTATTTTCCAATATCTTTTTCTTTTCCCTATTAAAAGTGTTTTAATTTTTCAACAACTTTGCTGAATGTTAATAAGAATAGACAAATTTTTTTAAAAAAAAAAAAAAAAAAAAACAATGAAATTTTTAAATTTTATTTACGTTTGTGAGTAAAAAATTACATTGAATTATATTAAATTTTATGTCTTACATATAATGTAAGGTTTGTACAAATAATATAGAATCATTTATTTATATTACCTTATATGAAATTATACATATATTTAATACAATTTATGTTGGTTATACATTCAAATGACACAAAACTAAGCATCATATATTTAGGATAAGATACATAACTTAATATCCATTTCTTGCCAGTTAACTGCTTTATAAGTACAAAAAGAGATATTAAAGAATATGAAAAAAAAAAAGATAAAAATTTCATTTAAGTAAATTGATATAGTTTCTTTGACAAATTTAGTACACAAGTCATGAATAAGCGATTCCCACCTACAGATCCAGGAATATCTTTCTGTAATCTCGGATAGCAACCAAACGTTATCGACATATATTCGACTGCTAAGTGTTGTCATGATTTGATGTATGGAGCAGATTACTAGTGATGTGATTGACTATACATTGTCCGTGTATGTGTGGCTATACCAGTTGTATGTTCTGCACAATAAAATAATTAATAATAGAAACTTAAATGTTACAATGATTTATGATGTGTTAACACAAATGAAAATCATGAAACCTTAAATAATAATTGGTGTTATATGAAAATATTAATCGTTTTATTTACTCACAAGGAGAGTGCAAGTCCGAGTCACCGATTTAATTGAAACTTTGCAGGTTTGTAGATATCGTTGCAGTTTTCTTAAACATGCAGTTTAAGAAAATATATCATTATAGCGGCAATTACTCAATAGTTTTTGAGATATTTACCATTAAAGTTTAATTACTTCCTTAATTATAGATTTATTTCCAGTAGTTTACAAGTGGAATCGTGGCCTAACGGCGATAGTCGAAAATTATTACTCTGAAGAACACGGGGTTCGATTCTCGTCCATAGTTGGTAGTTTTTTCAATCTATTTTTTATTTTGATTATTAGTTTATTCTTTAAATTATGTTATAGAAATTTTTGAGAACAATGGAGGAAAGGATAGACAATGAATTGAGAGATACAATAAAAGGAACCGAAGAAAGTACAAAATTATACAATAGATGATATTAATAAATATAAGAAACAGCGTTTGATATTTTACATCGATACTTTAGCATATGGCTATTTCAAAAACGAAGCATCTTCCCGCGGAAACGAGGCACAACTTTGCCCAATCGCAGAATACTTCTAGTCTACGCGAATCCAACATACCGGTAACACATGGTGTAATGTTACAGTAAAACTTTCAGTCCCGCAGCGGAACGTTTCGTGCCGTAATGTTATCCATTATCAATCTTTTAATTACTGCAATTGACGAGAGAAATCTTCCACGAACAATAATACGCAGTATCAGTGATTATTTCGGAGCAATGAACAACTTTTGCAACATCGTCGTGATGTTTACGAAAAGACTACAATACAAGGTTAAGAAATTAAGAGAACTTTGCCAAGAACAGGATAAATAACTGTGAACATTTGTTTGGTGGTAACATATCATACATGGAGAAAAGTTAAGGTGCACGTGTGAAATAAAGTGACGGAAGAGCAAGTGCCTGTGAAATCGTGTTACACAGTATACCTTTTTCGCTCATATTTCGGAAATTAGGCTTTCGTATACGGTTTTTTCCATATATCAGCGTAGAGTGGAATTTTCTCTAACGGGATTGGCTACTTTTTCTCGGTTTTGAGCGTGCGTTTTCAAAAAATATTGCCGAATGTGTTTGTGGCTCTGAAATCGTACTGCACAATTGACATTTTTTTTCTTCCGTTATCGGAGTTAGGCTTTTCGATTAGGTTTGTTCTATATAACAGCGTAGAGTGGAATTTTCTCTAACGGAATTGATTATTTTTTTTCGGTTTCGGGTGTGCGGTCTTGAAAAATAGTGCCGAAGGTGTCCGTGGCTGTCAGATCGTGCTGCGTAATAGACTTTTTTGGCTCCTATTTCCAAAATTAGGCTTTTTGAATAGGTTTGTCCTATATATCCGCGTAGAGGGAATTCTTCCTTAACGGGATTGACTATTTTTTTTCAGTTTCGGGAGTGCGTTTCCGAAAAATAGTGCCGAAGGTGCCCGTGGCTGTCAGATCGTGCTGCGTAATAGACTTTTTTGATTTCGATCTTCGAAATTTCGCTTTAGGACCGAATTTTTTCCATCTATCCCTGTAGAGTGAATTCTCCTCTAACGAGTTCGACGACTTTTTTCGGATTTCGACTGTTCAGTGCCGTAAGATAGAGCCGAAAGTGCGGACGGGTGACAGGTCGTGCTGCGTAATAGACTTTTTTGATTTCGATCTTCGAAATTTCGCTTTAGGACCGAATTTTTTCCATCTATCCCTGTAGAGTGAATTCTCCTCTAACGAGTTCGACGACTTTTTTCGGATTTCGACTGTTCAGTGCCGTAACATAGAGCCGAAAGTGCGGACGGGTGACAAGTCGTGCTGCGTAATAGACTTTTTTGATTTCGATCTTCGAAATTTCGCTTTAGGACCGAATTTTTTCCATCTATCCCTGTAGAGTGAATTCTCCTCTAACGAGTTTGATGACTTTTTTCGCATTTCGTGTGTTCATTGCCGTAAGATACAGCTGAAAGTGCTGGCGGGTGACAGGTCGTGCTGCGTAATAGACTTTTTTGATTTCGATCTTCGAAATTTCGCTTTAGAACCGAATTTTTTCCATCTATTCCTGTAGAGTGAATTCTCCTCTAACGAGTTCGACGACTTTTTTCGGATTTCGACTGTTCAGTGCCGTAAGATAGAGCCGAAAGTGCGGACGGGTGACAGGTCGTGCTGCGTAATAGACTTTTTTGATTTCGATCTTCGAAATTTCACTTTAGGACCGAATTTTTTCCATCTATCCCTGTAGAGTGAATTCTCCTCTAACGAGTTCGACGACTTTTTTCGGATTTCGACTGTTCAGTGCCGTAAGATAGAGCCGAAAGTGCGGACGGGTGACAGGTCGTGCTGCGTAATAGACTTTTTTGATTTCGATCTTCGAAATTTCGCTTTAGGACCGAATTTTTTCCATCTATCCCTGTAGAGTGAATTCTCCTCTAACGAGTTTGATGACTTTTTTCGCATTTCGTGTGTTCATTGCCGTAAGATA